GTTAGCGTGACATTGATGGAAATGATTAACCAAAACAAGTGTTGCGTTACACTTACCGCATTGGCGACCCACCCATCAAAAAGGCAACACTTCAAAATGTAGCGAGCTGTCTTCTAGAAATTGTCCTCTAACCAGTGATGTACACATTATTCCCAGATTGTGTTTTTTGTGCTGTGTTAGTTTTAACAGGACGTGCAACCTCATCTCCACCCTCTCGCGCAAATGATTTCAACGTCATATCGATATGAGTGATTGACAAATAAGTGTTGCGTTTCTCTTTCCGTTTTGTTGACCCCCCAAAATCAAACTGCATCAGTCCAAAATGTAGCTGACGGGTCTTTCTGCTGGTTGTTCTCTAACCAGTGATGTACAAAATATCTCCAGATTCCATGTGTTTTTTAGTTCAACAGCGCGTACAACCTGATTTCCCCCCTAATCGATATCAGTGATTTATTGCCACTTGTCAAAACAACAGGGGTTTTGGTGCGTGTGCAGTTTATAAGGTGCTCATTTAAAATATACCAGTAATATGATTACCATTGTTGCACATGTATGGTAGATAGTACATTTTATGTTTAGGTTTTCGATATATCAAGAACTGTTTCTGCATATTGGTTATTGATTTGGATACATTAAAACTGTGTTTTGACTAGGCTATTTATCAAAATGTCTTGTGAACAGGAAGCAGCGACTGCATCATTTTCAACGTAATTTTTGGAATATAAATTGACTTTCATCATTTATTTCCAATGGCATTATACTTAATCAGGTAAAAACTGCTGAGATGTATTTATTTTGAAGATATATCAGAAATCACCAAAACGGGTTTGCCCTGCCTGGCATGAGCCACATCAGTTAACATCATTTGAATGAACATTCTACACATCCATGGGAATTATTGCATCACAATACCAGGTAGCCTTTGCAAGTGTACCCATAAGGTTACCAGTCAAATTGACACTTTGCTAAGCCCCTCCCCAGTATTTTGGGCAACCAATCACAGCGCTCCAATGGATAGCAACTGTCGTCGAGTCCGACTCCTCGGACAAGCTCATGTTTAAATCAAATCGCATAAAAGCCAGTGAGGGCTATGACAAAAACTGAGAGTTTTCTTTAAAAAATAAATGTTTAAATGGCAAAATAATTGAACAGTGCACCAGGTGTACTTGCTACTGTGATTCCTGAAATGCAGAGCCTGTTAATAGAGTATTTTTCTCATCCGAAATGATAATTTTGTTACGTTGTTTGCTAGCTCAGCTGGTTAGCTAGCTAGCTCTCAGTCTCATTGACCACGAAACGTTGTGTCAAGCTAAAATACCACCTCTGCAGGATTAACAACTCAACTCGAACCTGCCTACCTATAGACGTCAGTTATTCCTTGTTATTAATCCCCCAGACCTGATAGATGCCGCTCTGCCTTACCACTGAGCTAGTTTACAGCTAGGGACTGTTCCACAACCTCAACACTACCGGTCAAAAGTTTGGACATACCCACTCATTCAAGGGTTTTTCTTTATTTTTACTATTTTCTACATTGTAGAATAATAGTGAAGACATCAAAACGATGAAATAACACATATGGAATCATGTTGTAACCAAAAAAGTGTTAAACAAATAGAAATATATTTTATATTTAAGATTCTTCAAATAGCCGCCCTTTGCCTTGATGACAGCTTTGCACACTCTTGGCATTCTCTCAACCAGCTTCACCTGGAATGCTTTTGCAACAGTCTTGAAGGAGTTCCCACATATGCTACTTATCCTTCACTCTGCGGTCCGACTCATCCCAAACCATCTCAATTGGGTTGAGGTCGGGGGATTGTGGAGGCCAGGTCATCTGATGCAGCACTCCATCACTCTCTCTCTTGGTCAAATAGCCCTTACACAGCCTGGAGGTGTGTTGGGTCATTGTCATGTTGAAAAACAAATGATAGTCCCACTAAGCCCAAACCAGATGGGATGGCATATCGCTGCAGAATGCTGTGGTAGCCATGCTGGTTATGTGTGCCTTGAATTCTAAATAAATCACAGACAGTGTCACCAGCAAAGCACCCCCACACCATAACACCTCCTCCTCCGTGCTTTACGGTGGGAACTACACATGCAGAGACCATCCGTTCACACACACGCGTCTCACAAAGACACGGCGGTTGGAACCAAAATCTCCAATTTTGGACTCCAGACCAAAGGACACATTTCCACCGGTCTAATGTCCATTGCTTGTGTTTCTTGGCCAAGCATGTCTCTTCTTCTTATTGGTGTCCTTTAGTGGTGATTTCTTTGCAGCAATTCGACCATGAAGGCCTGATTCACACAGTCTCCTCTGAACGGTTGATGTTGAGATGTGTCTGTTACTTGAACTCTGTGAAGCATTTATTTGGGCTGCAATTCTGAGGCTGGTAACTCTAATGAACTTATTCTCTGCAGCAGAGGTAACTCTGGGTCTTCCATTCCTGTGGCGGTCCTTATGAGAGACAGTTTCATCATAGCGCTTGATGGTTTTTGCGACTGCACTTGAAGAAACGTTCAAAGTTCTTGAAATGTTCCGTATTGGCTGACCTTCATGTCTTAAAGTAGTAATGGACTGTCGTTTCTCTTTGCTTATTTGAGCTGTTCTTGCCATAATATGGACTTGGTCTTTTACCAAATAGGGCTATCTTCTGTATACCCCCCTACTGATTGGCTCAAACGCATTAAGAAGGAAATAAATTCCACAAATTAACTTTTAAGAAGGCACACCTGTTAATTGAAATGCATTCCAGGTGACTACCTCATGAAGCTGGTTGAGAGAATGGCAAGAGTGTGCAAAGCTGTCATCAAGGCAAAGGGTGGCTATTTGAAGAATCTCAAATCTCAAATATATTTTTATTTGTTTAACACTTGTTTGGTTACTACATGATTCCATATGTGTTATTTCATAGTTTTGATGTCTTCACTATTATTCTACAATGTAGAAAATAGTAAAAAATTAAGAAAAACCCTTGAATGAGTAGGTGTTCTAAAACTTTTGACCGGGAGTGTACCACTGGCTGAACATCATCACTACTAGTTTTAAACATTAACATTTCTTATTTCCTTCAAATTGACCTTTAATATTCTAATTTCACTCAATTCAAATATCATTCTAAGTTAACATATTACTTCAGTTACATCTTAGCCATTCAACATCCCATCATCATTATCATAACATTTCATCATTATAACATTTCACTATCAATCTCCTACAGGCCCTAAGGCCTTATCCTCCAAGCCTAATGGACATAGTGCTAATTTACCTTAAAACAAACTAACATCTCATCCTGAACCATTTTCCTATATTACTTCAGCCACCTTTTAACATTTGCTCAACATTTTCAACATATTTAGTATTTAACATTCTATTATCATTTTAATCAGTTCCAGTCCCAAGTCTTTTCTTATTTTTTCCTTATTTTTTAGAGTTGACGTCCATTATTTATTTCAATGTTCATCCTCCTCTGTGCTCCGTTTGTGAGTGTAAGTGAAACTTCTTAATGGGTGTGTGTGTGTGATTAGGGCCCTCCTATCAGCACTTCCTGCCCACGCACGAAAAAGCCATATCTCAGACTGGCCAATAAAAAGAAAAGATTAAGATGGGCAGTCTGAGATATGGCTTTTTCTTTGCAACTCTGCCTAGAAGGTCAACATCCCTGAATCGCCTCTTCACTGTTGATGTTAAGACTGGTGTTTTGTGGGTACTATTTAATGAAGCTGCCAGTTGAGGACCTGTGAGGCGCCTGTTTCTCAAACTAGACACTCTAACGTATTTGTCCTCTTGCTCAGTTGTGCACCGGGGCCTCCCACTCCTCTTTCTATTCTGGCAATTGTAATGACAGTCCACCACAACATACCCAAGAGTTTCCTGATTAGCAAGGGGTAGTCTGTGTTTAATTTCATTGTGTATCAGAAACACAGTTTGAGATCTTTGTGAGGGGATTTCGCCAGTGGTTGAATGGGTAATTGGGCTTGCCGGGAAAATGTTGTCAGAGGTTGCAACAGTAAACAAGGGGGGAGGGGCTTAGCGAAGGGTTAGAGGTTCCAAGCCCATTTTATTCATTCTATATCTATGTGTGCTGCTGCTGCAGGGAGGGGGCCGTTGCCTAGGCAACCAAAGACTTGTTTGCTACAACACCTTGCTTGTTTCAGCAAGGAGCAACAAAGTTGCATCACGTTATCGCAGAAATAGACTCAACCACAAGAGTGCCCGGAGTGCCCGGTCGTCCCGTCTTCAGCCAGCTGTTCCTTCCATGTTTTTTAAACGGTTATGACGGTTATTTCATTTTTTCATGACGGTCTTCATCCATAACCGTCGGTTACACGGTTATACAGTAATTGTGCCAGCCCTAATGGCATATCAATGTCTGGAAGTGACATTGTATTTTGTTCAATGTCTTGCCTGTCTAAGTTACTCTTGAAAGACACCTCTGTTCTTAACCACTCCTACTGCTGATGAGGCAGAGCTCATCTTGTTTTTGTCTTTCAACGTGAGTCTTCTCAGAGCTTATTGGTGAGATAATTAGAGGCACCTCATCACATCTTCCCCACAGCTCTGTGTTCATACAGCACCTATTTTCAGCACATTATGAATGCATTGACACAATCTATAAGTGGTTGGCTGTATTTGTGCAGAATCACATTTCAAATGTTTATATTTTTGAATTGGCAGAAACACAAGGAATGCAGAAAATACTTGATAGAAAATGTTTGAATACGAAAAGAAAAAGTAGGAAATCCACCAATCAGTAGAGATGTTGAGTGGTGTTTTGGTGTCCCCAGGGTCATATTCACTATGCACCAAACGGAAGATAACAGACCGCAACAGGGAGGGATGTGTAAAAATAAGAAACACTCGTTTTTCATTTTTCTGTTGTAAAAGGTTTTGCTACGGTGTGCACTAATGAATACGTCCCAGCATTGTGTGTGTGGCTGTGTGCTGAAACAGAACACTGGTTGTTTGTTGTTCCATCCAGGCTATAGCCCAGAACTCTGAACTGAGAGAGCGGCTGAGCAACATTCACGCTGAGTCCCGCTGCGTCCCAGAACCCTCCACTGGGCTCATAAACCTCTCTGGCCCCCTACAGGTGGGTGTGGGACATGCATGATGATATGCATGATGACACACCCTCCCGTCCATATCAGCATCATCAGGTTTGCAAAATTCCGCTAACTGGTCGGAGGATTCCGGATTCCAGAGGATTCTGGATTTCATCCTTATTCCCTCCTAATTCTAGGAATCTAAACCGTGATTTCTGGAAAAACCTGGGAAGTTACCAGAATTGTGCAACCCTAATCATCATCACTGGCATTATTATCTAATGAGAACAGGCTATATGATTATAATAGGATATAATCTGCTGGCCTTAGTCCCAATACAACAGCTGTTGACCCACTCACTGCTTGTTTAGGCCCCTCTGTAATGATGAGTGATTATCATCACAACATCTCCTTAGTTGTTACAGAGTAACAGGTTCAGCAGTGTTTTCTACTCCTAACTGTTACAATATGGATGGTTAGTGTTGACAGCTCTAACTCCTACTTATCAAGCTGAGTGTTGAGACAACAACTGATTAGAAGATGAGACTGAAGGGATTGTTAGTTAGGTGTTTGGGTGTAAACTGTAAACACCTCTCCTTCTGTTCAGAGTCAGTTGTTATCCTCAAGAGCTCACACACACACACACACACACACACACACACACACACACACCACACACACACACACACACACACACACACATACACAAACAGTGAATCAGAGTCCGTTGGTACCCTCAGGAGCTTACTGTTGTGTATATTTAATCAGATCTGATGATAGGGTACAACCTGATCCTGTTAATCACATCCCTGGATGCTTCCAATACATACACACACTCACAGACACACACACACACACGCCCACACACACTCACACACACACACACACACACACACACACACACAGTTAGTGATTCTATTATGGTCAGAGGAGGTTCCTCAGAGGAAGGCTTCCCTGTTTCCTCATCATTAATTGGTCCACAGAGGCATCAGAGAATCAACAAGTAGGCCTAATGCACTGTTTGCGTCCCCCCCATGGGCCCTGGTCAACAGTACTGCACTAGAACAGGAATAAGGTGACATTTGGGACGCAACCTGTATGTGTGTTCAATTCACACGGTCACACTATTCTTTGGAAATGTGCATGTTTATTCATGGTTTATTGTTTCAGCCAGTAATGTTTATTCCTTTTGAAAGTTGTAACAACAGGAGAATGAGTTAGAATTAATATATGTCTAAACCAAACTGAATTAATCTAAACCTAAACCTAACAGAATTAATCTAAGCCTAAACCTAACTGAATTAATCTAAGCCTAAACCTAACTGAATTAATCTAAGCCTAAACCTAACTGACATTATGTTCTCCTCTTATTAGAAGCAAGACTCCACAGATGGATCCCACCCCCTAGTTCACCAGGCGTCCAATGAGAGCAGAGCGTCCATCACAGAGTCTCTGTCGGAGTTCTTCGATGCTCAGGAGGTTCTACTGTCCGCCAGCTCCTCGGAAAACGAGGTCAGTGCCTGACTGGGATGAGGAGGGAGGAGGAGGAGAGAGGAGGGAGGAGGAGGGAGGAGGGAGGAGAGAGGGGGATGGAGGAGGAGGGAGGGGGAGGAGGGAGGGAGGAGGAGAGAGGGGGATGGAGGAGGAGGGAGGGGGAGGATGGAGGAGGAGGGAGGGGGAGGAGGGAGGAGGAGGAGAGAGGGGGATGGAGGAGGAGGAGAGAGGGGGATGGAGGAGGGGGGAGGGAGGAGAGAGGAGGGAGGAGGAGGAGAGAGGGGGATGGAGGAGGAGGGGAGGAGGAGAGAGGGGGATGAGGAGGAGGGAGGGGGAGGAGGGAGGAGGGGGAGAGAGGGGGATGAGGAGGATGGAAGGGGAGGAGGGAGGAGGAAGAGAGAGGGGGATGAGGAGGAGGGAGGGGGAGGAGGGAGGAGGGGGAGAGAGGAGGAGGGAAGGGGAGGAGGTAGGAGGAGGTGGGAGGGGGATGAGGAGGAGGGAGGGGGAGGAGGGAGGAGGTGGAGAGAGGGGGATGAGGAGGCAGGAGTAACAGACAGAGAGCTGGAGGAACATTTTGTCTGGAACACACGTCAGACTTCTGGCTTCAGACTTAATGAGGCACCTCCAGTCAGAGCTCTGAGCTACAGAACATGTTCAGTATGTTTTCTGTCCCTGTGTGAAAGTTAATTACCCCCATCTAAAAATAAAATACCCTTACTGAGGAGAGGAGAGGAGCTGAGGTTTACATTTGTCAGTGTCTCCTCAGGGACCGACCGCCCCCCCTCTTCCCCCTCCCTCCCCCTCCGTTCTCAAACGCACTGGCTGCGTCCCAAATGGCATCCTATTTCCTATTTAGTGCACCATTTTGACCAGGACCCATGGGGAATAGGGTGCCATTTGGAACAGTCCCATATGTTGTGACAGGACGTTAAAAGGGACCTGACAGTTTCCTGGTTCCCGACTCTCTCAGGTGGGCGCTGTTAAAAAGGTATATTTGATTTATTCTTTATATTCCAGGCCTCTGATGATGACTCATACATCAGTGACAACGTGAGCGACAACATCTCCATGGACAACTTCAGCAACGAGACGGAGAGACCTAACTCGGGTAAGGGAACACTTTACCATTTGTGTTCCAAGTGGCACCCTATTCAATGTATAATGTACTACTGTTGACCAGGGCTCATAGAGCTCTGTTCAAAACTAGTGCAATAGGGTGCAATTTGGGACGTGTTTTCCTGATTACGTAGTGACATACAGTAGTTATGACCACTAATATCCTCTTCCTAACCCTCCAGGCTGTGAAGAGAACGGGACCCTTCTGAGAAGACGCAGGTCGTGTCTCCCGTCAGCCAGCCCTAACACCAGTAACATCAGTCTATGGAACATCCTTAAGAACAACATAGGGAAAGACCTCTCCAAGGTACCATGGACTTTTAGCTTTATTTCTGTCTACTTTGTTGGTTTATTTATTTTCTGTTGTGTTTGTGATTTGTTTCTGCCTACGTAGAGCGTTGAGATTCCTCTGTAATGAAAAGCGCTATACATTACAAAATGTCTTATTATTATAATTACATAATTACATTTGGTTTTCATGACATTATTACATAATTACTACATTTGTATTATAATGAAGGTGACCAAATCTAGCTTTGAGATTGCTGTGTAAATGTGTTGTTATTATTATTCAGGTGGCTATGCCTGTTCAGCTGAACGAGCCCCTCAACACCCTGCAGAGACTGTGTGAGGAGCTGGAGTACAGCGAGCTGCTGGACAAAGCTGCTAACACACAGGACCCCTTTGAACGCATGGTGAGAGGGGATGTGTACACACACACACACACACACACACACACACACACTGGACTCCTTTGAACGCATGGTGAGAGGGGATGTGTATACACACACACACACACACACACACACACACACACAGGACCCCTTTGAACGCATGGTGAGAGGGGATGTGTACACACACACACACACACACACACACACACACACACACACACACACACACACACACACACACACACTGGACTCCTTTGAGGGAATGGAGAGAGAATATGCTCTGAACACACACACACACACACTGACACAGGACTGCTATGAAGCCCCTAAATAAGATCTGGTGCAACCAATTACCTTCAGAAGTCACATAATTAGTTAAATAAATCTAAGTGTCACATGATCTGTCACATGATCTCAGTATATACACCTGTTCTGAAAGGCCCCAGTGTCTGAAACACCACTAAGCAAGGGGCACCACCAAGCAAGCGGCACCATAGCTCTCCAAACAGGTCAGGGACAAAGTTGTGGATACAGATCAGGGTTGGGTTATAAAAAAATATCAGAAACTTTGAACATCCCACGGAGCACCACTAAATCCATTATTAAAAAATGGAAAGAATATGGCACCACAATAAACCTGCCAAGAGAGGATCGCCCACCAAAACTCATGGACCAAGCAAGGAGGGCATTAATCAGAGGCAACAAAGAGACCAAAGTTAACCCTGAAGGAGCTGCAAAGCTCCACAGCGGAGATTGGAGTATCTATCCATAGGACCACTTTAAGCCGTACACTCCACAGAGCTGGGCTTTATGGAAGAGTGGCCAGAAAAAAGCCATTGCTTAAAGAAAAAAATAAGCAAACACGTTTTGTGTTCGCCAAAAGGTGTGTGGGAGACTCCCCAAACATATGGAAGAAGGTACTCTGGTCAGATGAGACTCAAATTGAGCTTTTTGGCCATGAAGGAAAACGTTATGTCTGGCGCAAACCCAACACCTCTCATCACCCTGAGAACACCATCCCCACAGTGAAGCATGGTGGTGGCAGCATCATGCTGTGGGGATGTTTTTCATCGGCGGGGACTGGGAAACTGGTCAGAATTGAAGGAATGATGGATGGCGCTAAATACAGGGAAATTATTGAGGGAAACCTGTTTCAGTCTTCCAGAGATTTGAGACTAAAATGGACTAAAATGGATTCAGGATTTAAGACATTTACATTTACATTTTAGTCATTTAGCAGACACTCTTATCCAGAACGACTTACAGTTAGTGAGTGCATACATTTTGTTTTCATACTGACATCAGTACTTTCCTGATTTGATGGCGCTTTGTATTCACTGACCAGTTTTCCTGAAGCTGGAGACATCTGCCTTTGAAGACATCGGACCATTCTACAGTAATAAATCTGTGTGGAATATATTTCCTGCAGAGGGCTTGTTCCATTTGAAATGATGAACTTGTGTTGTGTTGCTGGCTGAGTGTGAATGACAGTCATAGGATCAGAGCTAGACCCAAAGATCCCAGCCTCCCCGACCAATACAAGTTGAATGGAGTTTGTCAGTTTGTCAGTTTGTCAGAGAGGTGGGCGTCATAGCGATGATCCGTGAAGTGAACTAGAGAAAGGGGCAGAGGTGACAATAAATACAGCTGCATCCCAAATGGCACCCTATACCCATTAAGGCTCTGGTCAAAAGTAGTGCACTTGGGAAAAGGGTGCCGTTTGGGACGCACACACAGTGTGGAACAGTGTGCTCTCTTCCTCCTCTTGCTGCATTATCAGCAGGCAGAGCCATACATCAATCAACAGCTAGGCATTAGTTACAGACAGAGGTACAGTAGGGCTACATCCATCAACAGCTAGGCATTAGTTACAGACAGAGGTACAGTAGGGCTACATCAATCAACAGCTAGGCATTAGTTACAGACAGAGGTACAGTAGGGCTACATCCATCAACAGCTAGGCATTAGTTACAGACAGAGGTACAGTAGGGCACATCCATCAACAGCTAGGCATTAGTTACAGACAGAGGTACAGTAGGGCTACATCCATCAACAGCTAGGCATTAGTTACAGACAGAGGTACAGTAGGGCTACATCCATCAACAGCTAGGCATTAGTTACAGACAGAGGTACAGTAGGGCTACATCCATCAACAGCTAGGCATAGTTACAGACAGAGGTACAGTAGGGCTACATCATCAACAGCTAGGCATTAGTTACAGACAGAGGTACATAGGGCTACATCCATCACAGCTAGGCATTAGGGTTACTTCCATCAATAGCTAGGCATTAGTTACAGACAGAGGTACAGTAGGGCTACATCCATCAACAGCTAGGCATTAGTTACAGACAGAGGTACAGTAGGGTTACTTCCATCAATAGCTAGGCATTAGTTACAGACAGAGGTACAGTAGGGCTACATCCATCAACAGCTAGGCATTAGTTACAGACAGAGGTACAGTAGGGCTACATCCATCAACAGCTAGGCATTAGTTACAGACAGAGGTACAGTAGGACTACCAATCAACAGCTAGGCATTAGTTACAGACAGAGGTACAGTAGGACTACCAATCAACAGCTAGGCATTAGTTACAGACAGAGGTACAGTAGGGTTACATCAATCAACAGCTAGGCATTAGTTACAGACAGAGGTACAGTAGGGCTACTTCCATCAATAGCTAGGCATTAGTTACAGACAGAGGTACAGTAGGGCTACATCCATCAACAGCTAGGCATTAGTTACAGACAGAGGTACAGTAGGGTTACTTCCATCAACAGCTAGGCATTAGTTACAGACAGAGGTTCTGTAGTGCTCTCTAGAGTACAGAAACCAAACTCTACCTTATTTATTAGTTATTATTAACCTGTGTGATGACAAATTATTATGATTGACAAATTATTGAAAAAATTAATGACAACAAATTATATTAGTTATTAAGCTGTTCAACCACTTTCTCCATCACTTGTGTTAGTTTGCTTGCAACCCGCTCAGCACTTTTGCCATGGGTGAAATCTGTCGTGGACAGACTACTTAACACAGCGTTTCCCAAACTCTGTCGTCTTTGGGACCCAAAGGGGTGCACATTTTGTTTTTTGCCCAAACACAACACAGTTGATTTAAATAATCAACTCACCATCATGCTTTGATTATTTGAATCAGCTGTATAGTGCTAGGGTAATGACTAAATGTGCACCCCTTGGTGTCCCCAGGACTGAGTTTGGGAAACACTGACTTAACACAACTGACACAATTACGCATGAATTTAGTTCTCGGTTTTCGAGTTTAACTTGGGTGTAAAGGACTGTATCATCAGCATACATTTGGATGTCCACTCCCTGGCACATAGAAGGAAGGTTGTTGATGTAGAAGCTGAATGATAAGGACCTAGGATGTAGCCCTGGGGAACTCCAGTGGTGCACTTCCTTGGTACAGCTTCTGTCGCAGTAGACTCATATGCTCAGGAAAGAAAGCTTTAATCTGTGTTGAAGAGGAGCGGCAGCAGGCAGTAAGCAGACAGCTGAAGACAGCTCTAATCTGTGTTAAGAGGAGAGGCAGTAGGTAGCTGAAGACAGCTCTAATCTGTGTTGAAAGGAGAGATAGCAGGTAGCTGAAGACAGCTCTAATCTGTGTTGAAGAGGAGAAATAGCAGGTAGCTGAAGGAAGCTCTAACCTGTGTTGAAGAGGAGAGATAGCAGGTAGCTGAAAGAAGCTCTAATCTGTGTTAAAGAGGAGAGACAGCAGGTAGCTGAAGACAGCTCTAATCTGTGTTAAAGAGGAGAGGCAGCAGGAAGCTGAAGACAACTCTAATCTGTGTTGAAGAGGAGAGACAGCAGGTATTTGAAGACAGCTGTAATCTGTGTTGAAGAGGAGAGATAGCAGGTAGCTGAAGGAAGCTCTAATCTGTGTTAAAGAGGAGAGACAGCAGGTAGCTGAAGACAGTTCTAATCTGTGTTAAAGAGGAGAGGCAGCAGGAAGCTGAAGACAACTATAATCTGTGTTGAAGAGGAGAGACAGCAGGTATTTGAAGACAGCTCTAATCTGTGTTGAAGAGGAGAGGCAGAAGGTAGCTGAAGACAGCTCTAATCTGTGTTAAAGAGGAGAAACATCGGGTAGCTGAAGACAGCTCTAATCTGTGTTAAAGAGGAGAGACAGCAGGTAGCTGAAGACAGCTCTAATCTGTGTTGAAGAGGAGAGGCAGAAGGTAGCTGAAGATAGCTCTAATCTGTGTTTTCGAGGAGAGACATCGGGTAGCTGAAGACAGCTCTAATCTGTGTTAAAGAGGAGAGACAGCAGGTAGCTGAAGACAGCTCTAATCTATGTTAAAGAGGAGAGGCAGCAGGTAGCTGAAGACAGCTCCAATATGTGTTAAAGAGGAGAGACAGCAGGTATTTGAAGACAGCTCTAATCTGTGTTGAAGAGGAGAGGCAGAAGGTAGCTGAAGACAGCTCTAATCTGTGTTAAAGATGAGAAACATTGGGTAGCTGAAGACAGCTCTAATCTGTGTTAAAGAGGAGAGACAGCAGGTAGCTGAAGACAGCTCTAATCTGTGTTAAAGAGGAGAGGCAGCAGGTAGCTGATGTCAGCTCTAATCTGTGTTGAAAAGGAGAGGTAGTAGGCAGCTGAAGACAGCTCTAATCTGTGTTGAAGAAGAGCGGAAGTAGGTAGCTGAAGACAGCTCTAATCTGTGTTGAAGCGGAGAGACAGCAGACAGCTGAAGACAGCTCTAATCTGTATTGAAGAAGAGTGGCAGTAGGTAGCTGAAGACAGCTCTAATCTGTGTTGAAAAGGAGAGGCAGCAGGTAGCTGAAGACAGCTCTAATCCGTGTTGATGAGGAGAGATAGCAGGTAGCTGAAGACATCTCTAATCTGTTGAAGAGGAGAGGCAGCAGGTAGCTGAAGACAGCTCTAATCTGTGTTGAAGAGGAGAGGCAGTAGGTTGCTGAAGACAGCTCTAATCTGTGTTGAAGAAGAGAGACAGCAGGTAGCTGAAGACAGCTCTAATCTGTGTTGAAGAGGAGAGACAGTAGGTAGCTGAAGACAGCTCTAATCTGTGTTGAAGAGGACAGACAGTGGGTAGCTGAAGACAGCAGTAATCTGTGTTGAAGAGGAGAGATAGCAGGTAGCTGAAGGAAGCTCTAATCTGTGTTAAAGAGGAGAGGCAGCAGGTAGCTGATGTCAGCTCTAATCTGTGTTGAAAAGGAGAGGTAGTAGGCAGCTGAAGACAGCTCTAATCTGTGTTGAAGAAGAGCGGAAGTAGGTAGCTGAAGACAGCTCTAATCTGTGTTGAAGCGGAGAGACAGCAGACAGCTGAAGACAGCTCTAATCTGTATTGAAGAAGAGTGGCAGTAGGTAGCTGAAGACAGCTCTAATCTGTGTTGAAAAGGAGAGGCAGCAGGTAGCTGAAGACAGCTCTAATCCGTGTTGATGAGGAGAGATAGCAGGTAGCTGAAGACATCTCTAATCTGTTGAAGAGGAGAGGCAGCAGGTAGCTGAAGACAGCTCTAATCTGTGTTGAAGAGGAGAGGCAGTAGGTTGCTGAAGACAGCTCTAATCTGTGTTGAAGAAGAGAGACAGCAGGTAGCTGAAGACAGCTCTAATCTGTGTTGAAGAGGAGAGACAGTAGGTAGCTGAAGACAGCTCTAATCTGTGTTGAAGAGGACAGACAGTGGGTAGCTGAAGACAGCAGTAATCTGTGTTGAAGAGGAGAGATAGCAGGTAGCTGAAGGAAGCTCTAATCTGTGTTAAAGAGGATAGACATCAGGTAGCTGAAGACAGTTCTAATCTATGTTAAAGAGGAGAGGCAGCAGGTAGCTGAAGACAACTCTAATCTGTGTTGAAAATTTGAAGACAGCTCTAATCTGTGTTGAAGAGGAGAGGCAGAAGGTAGCTGAAGACAGCTCTAATCTGTGTTAAAGAGGAGAGGCAGCTGAAGTCAGCTCTATTCTGTGTTGAAGAGGAGAGACAGCAGGTAGGTGAAGATAGTTCTAATCTGTGTTAAAGAGGAGAGGCAGCAGGTAGCTGAAGACAACTCTAATCTGTGTTGAAGAGGAGAGACAGCAGGTATTTGAAGACAGCTCTAATCTGTGTTGAAGAGGAGAGGCAGAAGGTAGCTGAAGACAGCTCAAATCTGTGTTAAAGAGGAGAAACATTGGGTAGCTGAAGACAGCTCTTATCTGTGTTAAAGATGAGAGGCAGCAGGTAGCTGAAGACAGCTCTAATCTGTGTTAAAGAGGAGAGGCAGCAGGTAGCTGAAGACAGCTCCAATCTGTGTTAAAGAGGAGAGGCAGCAGGTAGCTGAAGTCAGCTCTAATCTCTGTTAAAGAGGGGAGGCAGCAGGTAGCTGAAGACAGTTCCAATCTGTGTTGATGAGGAGTGGCAGCAGGTAGCTGAAGACAGCTCTAATCTGTGTTGATGAGGAGAGGCAGCAGGTAGCTGAAGACAGCTCTAATCTGTGTTGATGAGGAGAGGCAGCAGGTAGCTGAAGACAGCTCTAATCTGTGTTGATGAGGAGAGGCAGCAGGTAGCTGAAGACAGCTCTAATCTGTGTTGATGAGGAGAGGCAGCAGGTAGCTGAAGACAGCTCTAATCTGTGTTGATGAGGAGAGGCAGCAGGTAGCTGAAGACAACTCTAATCTGTGTTGATGAGGAGAGGCTGCAGGTAGCTGAAGACAGCTCTAATCTGTGTTGAAGAGGAGAGGCAGCAGGTAGCTGAAGACAGCTATCCCATCTGGGTCTTTGTGGAGTGGAGGAGAGGATGATGACGATGACGATGAGGGCTCTTTCCCCTGGCCCAGTGTGGCCTATCAGAGGCGACATCCAGATCCAGACAGCATCCTCTCAGCCAGCCACTCTGGCTTCCTCTCAAATGGCACCCTATTCCCTATGGGCCCTGGTTAAAAATAGTGCACTAAATAGAGAATAATGTGCCATTGGGGCACTGGCTCTGACTCTCCCATTCAAATGCACATTACTGAGGTCATCAGGCCCATTCATCTCAAATGGAGAGGACATTATAGCTACAGTGGGGAGAACAAGTATTTGATACACTGCCGATTTTTCAGGTTTTCCTACTTACAAAGCATGTAGAGGTCTGTAATTTTTATCATAGGTACACTTCAACTGTGAGAGACGGAATCTAAAACAATAATCCAGAAAATCACATTGTATGATTTTTAAGTAATTAATTTACATTGTATTGCATGACATAAGTTTGTGATACATCAGAAAAGCAGAACTTAATATTGGTACAGAAACCTTTGTTTGCAATTCCAGAGATCATACGTTTGCTGTAGGTCTTGACCAGATTTGCACACACTGCAGCAGGGATTTTGGCTCACTCCTCCATACAGACCTTCTCCAGATCCTTCAGGTTTCGAGGCTGTCGCTGGGCAATACGGACTTTCAGCTCCCTCCAAATATGTTCTATTGGGTTCAGGTCTGGAGACTGGCTAGGCCACTCCAGGACCTTGAGATGCTTCTTACGGAGCCACCCCTTAGTTGCCCTGGCTGTGTGTTTCGGGTCGTTGTCATGCTGGAAGACCCAGCCACGACCCATCTTCAATGCTCTTACTGAGGGAAGGAGGTTGTTGGCCAAGATCTTGCGATACATGGCCGCATCCATCCTCCCCTCAATACGGTGCAGTCGTCCTGTCCCCATTGCAGAAAAGCATCCCAAAGAATGATGTTTCCACCTCCATGCTTCACGGTTGGGATGGTGTTCTTGGTGTTGTACTCATCCTTCTTCTTCCTCCAAACACGGCGAGTGGAGTTTAGACCAAAAATCTATATTTTTGTCTCATCAGACCACATGACCTTCTCCCATTCCTCCTCTGGATCATCCAGATGGTCATTGGCAAACTTCAGACGGGCCTGGACATGCGCTGGCTTGAGCAGGGGGACCTTGCGTGCGCTGCAGGATTTTAATCCTTGACGGCGTAGTGTGTTACTAATGGTTTTCTTTGAGACTGTGGTCCCAGCTCTCTTCAGGTCATTGACCAGGTCCTGCCGTGTAGTTCTGGGCTGATCCCTCATGATCATTGATGCCCCACGAGGTGAACTCTTGCATGGAGCCCCAGACCGAGGGTGATTGACCGTCATCTTGAACTTCTTCCATTTTCTAATAATTGCTCCAACAGTTGTTGCCTTCTCACCAAGCTGCTTGCCTATTGTCCTGTAGCCCATCCCAGCCTTGTGCAGGTCTACAATTTTATCCCTGATGTCCTTACACAGCTCTCTGGTCTTGGCCATTGTGGAGAGGTTGGAGTCTGTTTGATTGAGTGTGTGGACAGGTGTCTTTTATACAGGTAATGAGTTCAAACAGGTGCAGTTAATACAGGTAATGAGTGGAGAACAGGAGGGCTTCTTAAAGAAAAACTAACAGGTCTGTGAGAGCCGGAATTCTTACTGGTTGGTAGGTGATCAAATACTTATGTCATGCAATAAAATGCAAATTAATTACTTAAAAATCATACAATGTGATTTTCTGGATTTTTGTTTTAGATTCCGTCTCTCACAGTTGAAGTGTACCTATGATAAAAATTACAGACCTCTACATGCTTTGTAAGTAGGAAAACCTGCAGAATCGGCAGTGTATCAAATACTTGTTCTCCCCACTGTATATCTGTGGGAAATCTAATGGGAATTTCACCAGCAATGATCAGTTGTTAGAGTGAAGGGTTACTGAATGGTCCATTTGCCACAAACTCACTACAAAAAGTTATCCTGCAGACCCCCAGGGGTAATTATGGTGGGACGATCTCTTATGTCATAGAGATGTACTAGAGGGCTCATCTCCGCTCGGCTCATCTTTGGAGAATGGAGATAGCACAGACAGCACCCTTGAGGGCTAAAACAGGCTTTGGGCCAAGTTCTCTATCCAACTCTATGGTTCCACTTTGCACTTTCTAATAACCATAAGCACTGTCATAATCTCATTCTTGGGTTGACCTTCTGTGTTTTGACTCACTAACTACTGTCCGTGTGTGTGTGTGTGTGTGTGTGCGTGCGTGTGCGCGCGTGTGTGTGTGTGTGGTTATCCTGCTCAAGTGTTACTGATGATGGCCATTATAATGTGCTGATGACTGATACTTGAACTTAGGAGTAATGAACTGACCTGTGCTGTTAACTGTCTGTAGGTGTACATAGCCACATTTGCAGTTTCGGGGTACGCGTCCAGCTACCACCGAGCGGGAGGAAAGCCCTTCAACCCAGTCCTGGGGGAGACCTACGAGTGTGACCGCCCCGAAAAGAGCCTCCGATTTGTAGCAGAACAGGTACTATATGCAGATCCACATGCCCTATGACCTAAGTATTTGTTCCATATCTGAATAATTCATAGGGTTTGATCCATCAAGTATAAACCTGCCATTGTTTATCTATGTTCTCAGGTCAGCCATCACCCACCTATATCAGTATGTCATGCTGACTCTAAAAACTACATATTCTGGCAAGGTAAGTCAACACCATGGTCCTCTACAAGCTAATACCCTTTCACCTGACACTCACCCTTTCACCTGACACACACCCTTTCACCTGACACACACCCTTTTCCCCTGACACACACCCTTTCACCTGACACACACCCTTTCACCTGACACACACCCTTTCACCTGACACACACCCTTTCACCTGACACACACCCTTTCACCTGACACACACCCTTTCACCTGACACACACCCTTTCACCTGACACACACCCTTTCACCTGACACACACGCTTTCATCTGACACATACCCTTTCACCTGACATACACCCTTTCACCTGACACACACCCTTTCACCTGACATACACCCTTTCACCTGACACACACCCTTTCACCTGACACACACCCTTTCACCTGACATACACCCTTTCACCTGACATACACCCTTTCACCTGACATACACCCTTTCACCTGACACACACCCTTTTACCTGACATACACCCTTTCACCTGACATACACCCTTTCACCTGAAACACACCCTTTCACCTGACATACACCCTTTCACCTGACACACACCCTTTCACCTGACACACACCCTTTCACCTGACACACCCTTTCACCTGACACACACCCTTTCACCTGACACACACCCTTTCATCAGACACAGACACTGGGATTATAACTAGGGGCAGGAGGTTTTTCTGACCACGCGAAAACACTCCTGGCCCTAACCATACCAGTTATTACAACTAGTCTAAAGCTGGAGGTCCTGGCCCTAACCATACCAGTTATTACAACTAGTCTAAAGCTGGAGGCCCTGGCCCTAACCCATACCAGTTATTACAACTAGTCTAAAGCTGGAGGTCTGGCCCTAACCATACCAGTTATTACAACTAGTCTAAAGCTGGAGGTCCTGGCCCTAACCATACCAGTTATTACAACTAGTCTAAAGCTGGAGGTCCTGGCCCTAACCATACCAGTTATTACAACTAGTCTAAAGCTGGAGGCCCTGGCCCTAACCATACCAGTTATTACAACTAGTCTAAAGCTGGAGGTCCTGGCCCTAACCATACCAGTTATTACAAACTAGTCTAAAGCTGGAGGCCCTGGCCCTAACCATACCAGTTATTACAACTAGTCTAAAGCTGGAGGTCCTGGCCCTAACCATACCAGTTATTACAAACTAGTCTAAAGCTGGAGGTCCTGGCCCTAACCATACCAGTTATTACAACTAGTCTAAAGCTGGAGGTCATGGCCCCTAACCATACCAGTTATTACAACTAGTCTAAAGCTGGAGGCCCTGGCCCTAACCATACCAGTTATTACAACTAGTCTAAAGCTGGAGGTCCTGGCCCTAACCATACCAGTTATTACAACTAGTCTAAAGCTGGAGGTCCTGGCCCTAACCATACCAGTTATTACAACTAGTCTAAAGCTGGAGGTCCTGGCCCTAACCATACCAGTTATTACAACTAGTCTAAAGCTGGAGGTCATGGCCCTAACCATACCAGTTATTACAACTAGTCTAAAGCTGGAGGCCCTGGCCCTAACCATACCAGTTATTACAACTAGTCTAAAGCTGGAGGTCCTGGCCCTAACCATACCAGTTATTACAACTAGTCTAAAGCTGGAGGCCCTGGCCCTAACCATACCAGTTATTACAACTAGTCTAAAGCTGGAGGTCCTGGCCCTAACCATACCAGTTATTACAACTAGTCTAAAGCTGGAGGTCCTGGCCCTAACCATACCAGTTATTACAACTAGTCTAAAGCTGGAGGCCAGTCCTCTTGGATGCACTAACCCTGCTGTTGTCTTTCCTGTAATGTCTTTAGACATGAGGTGGAAAAACAAGTTCTGGGGGAAGTCTATGGAGATAGTTCCTGTTGGCACCACCCATGTGATTCTGCCAGGGTGAGTCCTTTACTGTCAGTCTCACTCGCACTCTACCAGACCACACTTACTGACCAAGTAGTCACTACATCCATGGTCAAACCAGTACGGCAATGTTCAGATATCACTCAAATAGGCTGATAGACTGATAATAGACTGTTAGACTGATAATAGACTGTTAGACTGATAATAGACTGTTAGAATGATAATAGACTGTTAGACTGATAATAGACTGTTAGACTGATAATAGACTGTTAGACTGATAATAGACTGTTAGACTGATAATAGACTGTTAGACTGATAATAGACTGTTAGACTGATAATAGACTGTTAGAATGATAATAGACTGTTAGACTGATAATAGACTGTTAGACTGATAATAGACTGTTAGAATGATAATAGACTGTTAGACTGATAATAGACTGTTAGACTGATAATAGACTGTTAGACTGATAATAGACTGTTAGACTGATAATAGACTGTTAGACTGATAATAGACTGATAGACTGATAATAGACTGTTAGACTGATAATAGACTGTTAGACTGATAATAGACTGTTAGACTGATAATAGACTGTTAGACTGATAATAGACTGTTAGACTGATAATATACTGATAGACTGATAATAGACTGTTAGACTGATAATAGACTGTTAGACTGATAATAGACTGTTAGACTGATAATAGACTGTTAGACTGATAATAGACTGTTAGACTGATAATAGACTGTTAGAATGATAATAGACTGTTAGACTGATAATAGACTGTTAGACTGATAATAGACTGTTAGACTGATAATAGACTGTTAGACTGATAATAGACTGTTAGACTGATTTAATTCTATTAAAGGTACTTTTGTGTTTTATACACTGACCTGCCTCTTTTCACATGCTTACACATGTGCACACACACACACACACACACACACAACACACACAAAACAAACACACAAAACACACAAACCAAAACACACACAAACACACAAAACACACGAAAAACAAACAAAACAAACACAACACACAAACACACAACACAAAACACACAAAACAACAAACACACAACAACAACACACACACACAAAACAAAACACAAAACAAACAACACACAAAACAAACAAAACACACACAACACAAAAAAAAACAAAAACAACAAAACAAACACACACAACACAACAAAACACAAAACACAAGCACACACAACACAACACACACACAAAACACAAAAAACAAAAAAACAACACAACAACACAACACAAAACAAACAACACACACACACAACAAACAACACACAACACAACACAAAACACACAACACACACAACACAACAAAAACACAACACACAACACACACACAAGAACACCACAAAAAACACAACAACACCACAAACAACAACACACACAAACCAAACAACACACACACACACACACAACACAACACACAACACAACACACACATACAAAAAACACACACACCACACACACACACAACCACACACCACACACAAACACACAAAACACACATCACCCCAACCCCCACAACCACAACACATGCACCAATCTGACTCCGCTCCTGCAGGTGGGACCACTTGGAACAGGAAATCTGCCCATCTAGCGGATACGGAGAGTCCCTCAGGACACGCAGTGATATCTGCCAGTGTAAGATCACCTTCATTAAGTGAGATGGTGTGTGTGTGTGTGTGTGTGTGTGTGTGGGTTGTGTGTGTGTGGTGTGTGTGTGTGTGGTGGTGTGTGTGTGTGTGTGTGTGTATTGAAACGGAGGGGATCGTTACTGTAGCATCGATTGGGTTGGATAATAGCTTTTTTGGAAATATCCCCCCGTTATTCTTAAAAGGGCCCCTGGGTAACATAAAATGCTTTTTTTAAGTAATGCAAAATTTTTTAAAACCAAATTTCAACCCCAAAACAAAACCCAATCCACCCACCCAAAAACCCCCCACCCCCCCCAAAAAACACCAACCCACACCAAAAAACCAACCCATTAAAACAAAATTTTAAAACCCCAAAAACTACCAGAAAAAAACCCCAACTTAAAAACCAAAACCAAAAAAAAACCCCCCCCCCCCACACCCGCCCACCCCCCCCTACCCCCCACCCACCCACGGCCCCCCCCAAAACCCCACCCACCCCGCCCCCCCCCACACGCCCCCCACCCACCCACTTAAAAACCCACCCCCCCCACCCCCCACCCCCCCCAACCCCCCACCCCCCCCCCCCCCCCCACCCCTTTCCCACCCTTTCCCCCTTACTGTCCGGGGCCTCCCCTTTCCCTTTTCCCCACATTTTCCCTCCCCCCTGTCCTGGCCCTTTTCTCCTGCCGCCGTTTTCCCCGGTCCTCATGTTTTTTTTGTGTTTTTTGTTGTTGTTTTTTTGTTTTTTTTGTTTGTTTTTTGCCCCCCTTTTTCCTGTTTTTTTTCCGGCCCTTATGTTTTTTCCCCCCGGGCCCCCTTCTTTTCTTTTCCGCCCTTTTCCGTCCCCCTGCCCGTTTATGAGCCCCTTTGTTTAGGGTATTTTTTTTCCCCCCCCTTCCTCTAATTTCCCGGTCCCTACCCCCCCCCCCTCTGCCTTCCTGTCCCTACTGGTATTTCCCTCTGCCCCCCCCATTTGTTCTCTGAGTTTTTCCCCCTTCGAAAGCCCCTCCTGTTCCTTACGAAATTTTCCCCCCTTTCCGTCCCTATGTCCGTCCTCTACTTCCTGTCCTCCTGTCCTTCCTCCCCCCCCTTCCCCCACTGCCCTCTTCCGTCCTTTTTCCCCTGTCCCCCTTCCCTTCCCTCTACTTTCTTCCTCTCCGCCCTTTTCCTCTAGATGCCCTTTTCTGTCCTCCCCTTCGGTTCTAACCCTTTCCCTCCTGCCCCTTTTCTGTTCCTTCCTCTACCCCCCCTTTTCCCCTTCCTTTCCCTTCCCTGTCCTTTCCCTGTCCTTTTTTCCCCTTTTTTCCTTCCTCTTCTGTTTTTTTTCCCCTCTCTTCCTTTTCTTCTTTTCCTTCCTTTTTTTTTTTTTGGGGCCTTTCCCAAATTTTTTCCCCCTTCCCCCCCTTTCCTTTTTTCCTTCCTTTAAACTTCCTGCCCTACTTTCCCTTCCCTCTTTTTTTTTCCTCTACGTCCTGCCCCTACGGGCCCCCCTTTACTGTCCTTTCCTCCTTCCCTCCCCCTGTCTTCTTCTTTCCTTTTCTTTCTTTTCCTTTCCCTACTTCCTTCCTTACGTCCTTTCCCCATTGCCCTGTCCTTTACTGTCCTGTCCTGTCCTCATGCCCTTTTGGCCCTTCCTGTCCCTTCCTCTCGTCTGTCCTCTCTGTCTCTTTTCCCTTCCTCCTTACTGTTTCCTTTGTCCTTCTTTGTCTTTTTGTCTGTCCTCTACTGTGTCCTCTATTTTTTCCTGTCCTCTACGCCCCTTCCTCACTGTCGGGGTTCCCTCCCCTTTTTCCCCCGTCCTGCCCTTTCCCCCTCCTTCTTTTCCCCAAGCCTGCCCTCTACGTATGCCCTCTCTGTCCTGTCCTTACTTCCTGTCCTCCCCAGTCCTTCCTCTTTCTGTCCTTTTTTCCCCAGCCCCCTTTTCCCCTTTTCCTCCTTCCTTTCCCCTTCCTGTCCCCCTTGTCCCACTTTCTTTTCCCCTTCCCCCCCCTATGTTTTTCCCCTTATTCCGGGTCCTCTATGCCCCTGTCCTTTCCCTTCCCTAGTCCGCCCTCTACGTCTTCCTTCCTCCCCCCTATCCTTCCTCTACGCCCGTCCTCATTGCCCTGCCCTTTATGACGGTTTTTTATTTTTCCCCCTGTCCCCCCCTTTTTCCTTTTTTTCCCTTCCTCCCCCCCTTTTTTTCCCTTTTCTTTTTCCTTTTTTCCCTTTTTCCTCTTTCCGTCCCCCCTTTTCTTTTTTTTCCTTTCCTTCCTTTTTTCCCCCTTGCCCTGTTTTTTGTCGTCCTCTACTTACGTCCTCACCCTTTTTGTCCTCTCCCCCTTTTCCCCCCTCCCCGACTTTCTTCCCTCCTTTTTTGTTCCTTACGTTTTCCCCTTCTTCCTTCTTTGCCCCCTTTTTCCCCGTCTCCTTTTTCCCTACTGTCCTTTCCCTTATGTCCTTCCTTCGTCCTCCCCCCTCCCCTGTCCTTTCCGCCTCCCCCCCGTCCCTACTGTCCTGTCCTCTACGCCCCTTTCCTTCTGTTTTTTCCCTGTCCTGTCCTCTCCCCCCCTTTGTCCCTCGTCCGCCCTTTTCCCCCCCGCCCCCCCTTTTTGTCCTTTCCGGGGCCCCCCCTTTTTGGGGTTTTTTTTGCCCCCAAAACTTTCCCCCCCCCTTTTAAAAAAACCTTTCCCCTTTAAACCTTTCCCGTCCTTAAAACGGGGTTTTCCAAAAAAAAACTTCGCCCTTCCCCCCCTGTCCTGTCCTCTCTTCCGTCCCCCGGGCCCCTTTTTTTTTACTCCTGCCCTTTCCTCCGCCCTGCCCCCAAAAAAACTCGTCGTCCCATTTTCCCCCATCCCCTTCCTGTCCTGTCCCCTTCCTCCCCCTTTCCCTATTTTAAACCTTTCCCAGGGTTTTTTTTTCCCCCCTTTCCCATTCTGTCCCCCCCCCTTCCTGCCTCTTCCCTTCTCCTTTTTCCCCCCCTTTTTCCTTTTTCCCCCCCCCTTCCTGCCCGTCCTCTACTGTCGCCCTCATGTCCGTCCTCTACGTCCTTTCCTGCCTTTTTTTTCCCCCTTTTTCCCCTTGAATATGGTTAAAAAAAAAAACAAATCTTCCCCTCCCCAGCCCAAGTCAAAACCAAAAAAAAAATTAAAATTTAGAAATTTGGGCATTCCCAAAGGGCACCAATTCCCTTAATTTAAAAAAAGGGGTTTCCCAAAAAGGGGTTCTTAAATTTCCCATGGGATAATTTTTTGGTTCCTTTGGCCCTTTTATTTTCCCTGTAGAAATCTGTTAAAGGGTTCTACGTGGAACCCAAAATAGTCGTACCTGCAACCAAAAGGGTTCTACCTGCAACCTAAAAGGGTTCTTCAAAGGGTTCTCCTACGGGGACAGAAGAAGGACCCTTTATGGTTCTAGATACCACTGCAATACTTTTAGCCAGGGCTTGATATTCAATAAGAATGTTATGCATTGCTTCCTGTGTACAGGCCAAGTACTGGAACTCAAGTGTGAATGAGGTGGAAGGCACCATCACAGACCACAAGGGGAAGGTCATCCACAGACTGTTTGGGAAGTGGAACGAGGGGGTGTACTGTGGAGACCCACCCTCCGCCACCTGCATCTGGAGAGCAAGTATGTACAGTACAATCCTAATAATAGACTGAACCTATTATACTGAGCCAGCGTCTTGACCTAAACACGCTATAGATCAGTGCTTTAAATGTTTAGCCCATGTACACATCAGTTGGAATTATCCATACTTTTCTTATCCATACAGTTTCTTTTTAAATGTATCTCCATATCTTTATTTCTACCAGTAGATATTTTAGCAAAATATGTGTCTGAAACTAAACAATGTTATTATATATAAGTAGCTCTGTACATCTTTACTTATGAAGTATTCCTTATTACATTAAAGGCAGCCCTTAGTCCATAGAATCATCTCTCTTGGTTGTAAAATAGTGTCTCTGGTGTGTGTGCCTGTGCGTTTGCGTGTGTTGGTGTTGTGTGTTGTCAGATGCCATGCCGGCTGACCACGAGCAGTACTACGGCTTCACTAAGTTTGCTATGGAGCTCAATGAACTGGACCCTTCACTGAAACTACTGCTGCCTCCCACAGACACCCGGCTACGGCTCGACCAGAGGTGAGAGACAGAGAGTGTTACTGTAACACTCCATTGTCAAATAGTGTGACAACTCTGTCTGCACTGAGGGACGAGCATGGCGTAGGAATGTAGGAATGTGCGTTATACAGTTATGTATTACTGCGTCACATGACCATTGTTACACCAAACACAGTGATGTATTACTGAGTCACATGACCATTGTTACACCAAACACAGTGATGTATTACTGAGTCACATGACCATTGTTACACCAATCACAGTGATATATTACTGCGTCACATGACCATTGTTACACCTTACACAGTTGGGTTTGCTTTATTGTGTATCCAAATGAATCCAAATGTCCCTCTATCTCTCTGTGTGTGCCTGTGTGTGTGTGTGTGTGTGTGTGTGTGTGTGTGTGTGTGTGTGTGTGTTGTATCAGGCTGCTAGAGGAGGGCAACGTAGAGGCAGCAGAGGAACAGAAACAGAAGGTAGAACAGCAGCAGAGAGACAGACGCAGAGTCCTGGATGAAAACAGCATGACACATGAACCCAGATTCTTCAGGTGAACTCCTAGAGCTGGATAGAGGGTGATGCCTAAGCCGTCACAGAAGTGGCCATTGGAAACACAGGAGATGAGCTCTCTAGTACAGGGGTTACCAATCTAGGGGTTGCCAAAGTTTTCCTGGGGGGTCGCGGGACCTTCGATGATTTGAGGGGTCTTTTTTAAATAATATATAGTGTATTCGTTTATTTTACAAATTCGCAATTGTATAAACCGATCTATAACGACTCATAACTCCACAATACTAGAAACAAGTGATAAACTCCCAGAGGAAGACTCTGATGCACATCAAGGATGATCAATGGAAACAGGATGCACCTGAGCTCAATTTCGAGTCATTTATTCTTAATAGATTAGCAAAAATTTCTACAAACCTGTTTTCGCTTTGTCATTATGGGGTATTGTGTGTAGATTGATGAGGGGGGAAAAATACGTCCAACCGGCCTCACAACCGCAGACCACGTGTAACCAAGCCAGCCCAGGACCTCCAAATCTGGTTTCTTCAACTTCAGGATCGGCTGAGGTCAGCTGCCCAGTGAGCTGATGAAACTGTTGGTTTGCACAACCAAAGAAGTGCTGCACAAACTGTCAGAAACAGTCTCCGGAAAGCTCATCTGCGTGCTCATCGTCCACACCAGAGTCTTGACCTGACTGCAGTTCAGCGTCGTAACCGACTTCAGTGGGCAAATGCTCGATAGCCACTGGCACACTGGAGAAGTGTGCTCTTCATAGATGAATCCCGGTTTCAACTGTACCGGGCAGAAGGCAGACATTGTATATGGCGTTGTGTGGGCGAGCGGTTTGCTGATGTCAACTTTGTGAACAGAGTGCCCCATGGTGGCGGTGGGGTTAAGGTATGGGCAGGCATAAGCTGCGGACAACGGACACAAGTGCACCGAGATACCGTGACAAGATTCTGAGGCCCATTGTCGTGCCATTCATCCGCCGCCATCACCTCATGTTTCAGCGTGGTAATGCACAGCCCCATGTCGCAAGGATCTGTACACAATTCCTGGAAGCTGAAAATGTCCCAATTCTTCCATGGCCTGCATACTCACCAGACATGTCACCCATTGAGCATGTTTGGGATGCTCTGGATCAACATGTACGACAGCGTGTTCCAGTTCCCGCCAATATCCAGCAACTTCGTACAGACATTGAAGAGGAGTGGGACAACATTCCACAGGTCACAATCAACAGCCTGATCAACTCTATGCGAAGGAGATGTGTCGCGCTGCACGAGGCAAATGGTGGTCACACCAGATACTGACTGGTTTTCTGGTCCATGCCCCTACCTTTCTTTTAAGGTATCTGTGGCCAACAGATGCACATCTGTATTCACAGTCATGTGAAATCCATAGATTGGGGCCTAATTTATTTCAATTGACTGATTTCCTAATATGAACTGTAACTCAGTAAAATCTTTGAAATTGTTGCATGTTGTTGTTCAGTGTGAATATATGCATATTTTCTCCGTTTTGGCACCAATTGGTAGATTTATAAATACTCAGTGGTGGAAAAAGTACTCAATTGTCATACTTGAGTAAAAGTAAAGATACCTTAATAGAAAATGACTCAAGTAAAAGTGAAAGTCACCCAGTAAAATACTGCTTGAGTAAAAGTCTAAAAGTATTTGGTTTGAAATATACTGGTCCTCTGTAGCTCAATTGGTAGAGCATGGCGCTTGTAACGCCATGCTCTAGTAGTAGTGGATTCGATCCCCGGGACCACCCATACGTAAAAATGTATGCACACATGACTGTAAGTCGCTTTGGATAAAAACGTCTGCTAAATGGCATATTATTATTATATTTACTTAAGTATCAAAAGTAAATGGAATTGCTCAAATGTACTCAAGTATCAAAAGTAAAAGTAAAAGTATAAACCATTTCAAATTCCTTATATTAAGCAAACCAGACAGATAGCCAGGGGAACACTCCAACTCTCTGACATAATTTACAAACGAAGCGTTTGTGTTTAGTGAGTCCGCCAGATCATAGGCAGTAAGGATGACCAGGGATGTTCTCTGTATAAGTGTGTGAATTGGACCATTTTCCTGTCAAAATGGAACGAGTACTTTGGGGTGTCAGGGAAAATGTATGGAGTAAAAAGTACATAATTTTCTTTAGGAATGTAGTGAAGTAAAAGTAAAAGTTGTCAAAAATATAAATAGTAAAGTACAGATACCCAAATAAACTACTTAACTAGTACTTTAAAGTATTTTTACTTAAGTACTTTACACCACTGTAAATACTCTGATCTTGTAGATTATTTAGGGTTAGGAAAGTATTTAGGAATCATAAAAAACAGGTTTGGAGAGAAAGAAAAATGTTTGATTAATTCTGAAAATTGCCACATTCAGTTCTTTAACGCATGGTAATGTTGGAAGATTAGAGTACAGGGAGGGAAATAAGTATTTGATCCCTCTGCAAAACATGACTTAGTACTTGGTGGCAAAACCCTTGTTGGCAATCACAGAGGTCAGACGTTTCTTGTAGCTGGCCACCAGGTTTGCACACATCTCAGGAGGGATTTTGTCCCACTCCTCTTTGCAGATCTTCTCCAAGTCATTAAGGTTTCGAGGCTGACGTTTGGCAACTCGAACCTTCAGCTCCCTCCACAGATATTCTATGGGATTAAGGTTTGGAGACTGGCTAGGCCACTCCAGGACCTTAATGTGCTTCTTCTTGAGCCACTCCTTTGTTGCCTTGGCCGTGTGTTTTGGGTCATTGTCATGCTGGAATACCCATCCATGACCCATTTTCAATGCCCTGGCTGAGGGAAGGAGGTTCTCACCCAAGATTTGATGGTACATGGCCCCGTCCATCGTCCCTTTCATGCGGTGAAGTTGTCCTGTCCCCTTAGCAGAAAAACACCCCCAAAGCATAATGTTTCCACCTCCATGTTTGACGGTGGGGATGGTGTTCTTGGGGTCATAGGCAGCATTCCTCCTCCTCCAAACACGGCGAGTTGAGTTGATGCCAAAGAGCTCGATTTTGGTCTCATCTGACCACAACACTTTCACCTAGTTCTCCTCTGAATCATTCAGATGTTTATTGGCAAACTTCAGACGGGCCTGTATATGTGCTTTCTTGAGCAGGGGGACCTTGCGGGCGCTGCAGGATTTCAGTCCTTCACGGCGTAGTGTGTTACCAATTGTTTTCTTGGTGACTATGGTCCCAGCTGCCTTGAGATCATTGACAAGATCCTCCTGTGTAGTTCTGGGCTGATTCCTCACCGTTCTCATGATCATTGCAACTCCACGAGGTGAGATCTTGCATGGAGCCCCAGGCCGAGGGACATTGACAGGTCTTTTGTGTTTCTTCCATTTGCGAATAATCGCACCAACTGTTGTCACCTTCTCACCAAGCTGCTTGGCGATGGTCTTGTAGCCCATTCCAGCCTTGTGTAGGTCTACAATCTTGTCCCTGACATCCTTGGAGAGCTCTTTGGTCTTGGCCATGGTGGAGAGTTTGGAATCTGATTGATTGATTGCTTCTGTGGACTGGTGTCATTTATACAGGTAACAAACTGAGATTAGGAGCACTCCCTTTAAGAGTGTGCTCCTAATCTCAGCTCGATACCTGTATAAAAGACACCTGGGAGCCAGAAATCTTTCTGAATGAGAGGGGGTCAAATACTTATTTCCCTCATTAAAATACAAATCAATTTATAACATCTTTTTTTTTTTGTTATTCTGTCTCTCACTGTTCAAGTAAACTTACCATTAAAATTATAGACTGATCATTTCTTTGTCAGTGGGCAAACGTACAAAATCAGCAGGGGATCAAATACTTTTTTTCCCTCACTGTACATATAATTATAATAGAGAGAATAGTACCCTTGTCTATTGCCTGTACTAACCAAGGAAATGTGTGATGACACAGCCAAGTATTGCCCCATAAGTCAAACTGTTACTGCTTGTCTGTGCTCCGCTCCATAACGAGTTAATTAGCTTACACGTCTTTTTTAAAAGAAATACACTACTGGTCAAAAGTTTTAGAACACCTACTCATTCAAGGGTTTTTCTTTATTTTAAAAATGTTCTACATTGTAGAATAATAGTGAAGACATCAAAACTATGAAATAACACATATGGAATCATGTAGTAATCAAAAAAGTGTTAAACAAATCAAAATATATTTTATATTTATGATTCTTCAAAGTAGCCACCATTTGCCTTGAAGACAGCTTTGCACACTCTTGGCATTCTCTCAACCAGCTTCACCTGGAATGCTTTTCCAACAGTCTTGAAGGATTTCCCACATATTCTGAGCACTTCTTGGCTGCTTTTCCTTCACTCTGCGGTACAACTCATCCCAAACCATCTCAATTTGGTTGAGGTGGGGGGATTGTGGAGGCCAGGTCATCTGATGCAGCACTCCATCACTTTCCTTCTTGGTAAAATAGCCCTTACACAGCTGATAGTGGCTAATATTTAACATGATAGAAATAGGAAACAGAGAAAGTCTTGGTAACCTATAATTAAGACATTCAAGAGTGCTATGTAAGGGCTATTTTACCAACAGGGAGAGTGATGGAGTGCTGCATCAGATGACCTGGCCTCCACAATCCCCCGACCTCAACCAAATTGAGATGGTTTGGGATGAGTTGGACCGCAGTGAAGGAAAAGCAACCAACAAGTAGTCAGAATATATGGGAACTCCTTCAAGACTGTTGGAAAAGCATTCCAGGTAAAGCTGGTTGAGAGAATGCCAAGAGTGTACAAAGCTGTCATCAAGGCAAAGGGTGGCTACTTTGAAGAATCTCAAATATAACATATGTTTTGATTTTTTAACGCTTTTTGTTACTACATGATTCCATATGTGTTGTTTCATAGTTTTGATGTCTTCACTATTATTCTACAATGTAGAAAATAGTAAAAAATGAAGAAAGACCCTTGAATGAGTAGGTGTTCTAAAACCTTTGACCGGTAGTGTATATATTATCAACTGTTACTAATGATCCTCAGCAACAACCACATGGTCGTGATGGCGTTTACACAGGAAGCAAATGAAGGTGAACAAGATAATGTCATTAAATGGAATGATAATGTAGGCTATACCAACTGAAGGGAACTAACAGTACATTGGCAGTGTAACGTACAATATGTGTTATTGGGCCTACTGACGGTCCATACTGATAGTGGGTAATATTTAACATGATAGAAATAGGAAACAGAGAAAGTCGTGGTAGTCTATAATTAAGACATTCAAGAGTGCCCATCCCTGCAAGTTAAAAGGCTGTACAATTTAAATTCTGCATAATGCCACAGCATTTCATAAACTTTACTGTGGGAAAGTTGATATGTTGATTTTACCTAGCTCTTATCAATAGCTCTGATCAAGTTGTAAATTAATTTACCTAGTTCTTGTAAATGTACAACTTGATCAGAGCTATTGATAAGAGTTTGGTAAATGAGTTTACAACTTGATCAGCGCTATTGATAAGAGTTAGGTAAATGAGTTTACAACTTGATCATAGCTATTGATAAGAGTTAGGTAAATGAGTTTATAACTTGATCAGAGCTATTGATAAGAGCTAGGTAAATGAGTTTACAACTTGATCAGAGCTATTGATAAGAGCTAGGTAAATGAGTTTACAACTTGATCAGAGCTATTGATAAGAGTTAGGTAAATGAGTAATCCGTTTGGATAAGGGAATTGTAAATATAAATGACACTTGTTTTAGATCTATTTTACCTTATCATCGCTGGAGATGAATGTGAAACCAGTCATACGGCAGCAAACTGAAGCATATCAACATATCAACTTTCCCACAGTAAAGTTTATGAAATGCTGTGGCATTATGCAGAATTTAAATTGTACGGCATGAAGAATGGTGTTATTTGTATCGGGAAAAATAAAGTAGATGCTTTTTCCACTTGGAACTGGTAGGTTCGCTAGACCTTAATCATGGTTTCATCGCACGTAAAGGTGGTGAAATTATTAGGGAATTAAGTCAAGGTCAGAATACGGCTTATCTGTAGACACAACTCCGCCACACCTTCATTTATTCGATCTCCACCCAAAACGAATAGCAGGTGAATATTCACTCTATTCTCATGCTTAAATTCAAGGTCAGAATACACATAGAGAGAACAGTGTATAGAAAGGGATTGACGTTCCATTCACGCACACTTAACTCGGGTTGGAATCGGGCCCTTTCTGTAAAAGACAATAGGTATAATTAAATTGAGGGTTCATATAAATATAATAATAAAACATATTTGGTAGCGGAATAACATTTGGGGAAATCGGATCTAGACTTTATCGTTCTTATTAAAGGGGGCCCTTGGGAAGAAAAGTTGGCAGCCCTGTTCCAATACATCTCCACAGGTAAACTCCACCTGCATTTATTCCCACTGGGTTTGTTACAGCAAGGCCTGAGGAGGTGTGGTATATGGCCAATATACCACGGCTTAGGGCTGTTCGTACGCACGACGCAGAGTGCCAGGATACAGCCCTTAGCCGTGGTATGTTGGCCATATACCACAAACCCCTGATGTGCCTTATTGCTATTATATACTGGGTACAAACGTAATTAGAACAGTAAAAATAAATGTTTTGTCATACCTGTGGTATATGGTCTTATATACCACAGCTTTCAGCCAATCAGCATTCAGGGCCCGAACCACACAGTTTATAACACAGTATAGATAATGTCCCACAGCAGATGTCTATGGGAACATTAGGTTACTCCGTTTTCAGTAGCTGTTACTCAGTTTCCATTCAATTCTGTTGGCCAACTTGTGAGTGTTAAAGACATAGTTCACTCAAACTGTATTTTGGTATTTGTTCATTAGTCCACTGTTAATACAATCCCCAAAAAATGTCAGCAGTCAAGTTTTCGAAGAGAGCACTTTTAGTAAAAAGCAAAAACGTGATGATCATTTTGTTGTTGATTCCTTTTGAAAGGTAAATCATTATTCAGTTCAGGTAAAGAATATGTCTTTCTGTTGTCCACAGGAAATCAAAGGACGACACCTGGGTTAGCAACAACACTTACTGGGACCTGAGGAGGGATCCAGGCTTTGCCCACCTGGACTGTCCTGTGTTGTGGTGACCTGAGGAGGGAACCAGGCTATCCCCACCTGTACTGTCCTGTGTTGTGGAACCAGGCTATCCCCACCTGGACTGTCCTGTGTTGTGGTGACCTCAATGTGACTTCTATGGCCACTGGTCACACACTTTGGTCATGTTTAATAGGCACAGGACTGAAACAGGGAGGGACTACCTGAACTTGTCCAATAAGAAACACTTGTGTGTTCATAAGGCACCAAACGGAAGAAAACGGACTGAAACAGGGAGGGAACTACCTGAACTTCCAGTCCAATAAGGAACGTTCTTTTTCGTTTTCCGTTGCAAAACATTTTGCTACGGTGTGTGCTTATGAACACGACCCTGTTTGGACTTTTAAGTCTCTACTGTGACCCAGGCTGGCTCTGGGGGCTGGAGGCCTGCTGCTCTGTCCGTCTCATCGGTTACGCCTCAAATGGCACCCTATTCCCTACATAGTGCACTACTATTGACCAGAGCCCTATGGGCCCAAGTAGTGCATCATACTGTAAAGGGAATAGTGTGCCATTTGGGACGTAGACTCCGTCTTGCACATGCCCATCTACTAGCCATCATTCCCCCCAACGCTTGTTGCTGGTTTATCATTTATTGTGGTTTTCATTTTTTCATTTGAGAGTTTATCCAGTTTATTGCCTTAATAGACAATGTTTATCCGAGTAGTGTGTTAATTTGGAGTCTTTTTATGCAAGCATACCCTCCGAATGTAGAGACAATTATGCAAAACGGTGTCCAGTTTTTTCACCTGTAGTGTCTCATTGTGCAGAATAGAGCACATAAGAAATACTGTATACTTCAACAAGGTACTAAATAATGAATTACTACGCTTGTTGGTTCTGCAAAGAGTGTAAAATAATCCAACCCTTTTTGTATTGCTTAGCTAGTAGTCTACATTAGCACAGTGGTTGACTGTACAATACTGTCTTAACACCTGCAGTTTTCTACCTCTGATATGAGATTCCATGGTACTTGTAACACCATTGAGAAGGTGTACATGTCAAATATTTATTCTGCACCTGTCTAATGCCTTACTGGGTGAACTATATTGCGTTTTAATCTAATTTCTCAGTTTAAAAACAAACAGATGTTTTAGAAGTGCACGTGTTTGTGTGAGGAGGAATCCTTTAAAGAATGAAGTATGTATATGAAGAGTTTCATTCCAAAATGCTATATATCCATTTTTAGAAATGTTGGTAAATCAGCTTTTATTGTTTAAAGGTCATGAACAGTCAAAATCATGTTTTTCATGAAATTGGATGATATTTGAAGGTAACCAGATCGAAGTATGATGACCAAAGTATGAAAAATTCTGTTGCTTCTACATTGATAAAGTTTGATCATAAAGTTACTGGTCCGCTCCTCCATGTCAAATACTTGGATTACATTTACATTTACATTTTAGTCATTTATCAGACGCTCTTATCCAGAGCGACTTACAGTTAGTGAGTGCATACATTTTCATACATGCTTCTGTCAATGTTGCGTCAATTCAAATCTGGCATTAGGAACAAAAGAGGTCAACACGACTTCTAAGATATACTAGTTATTTTAATTAATGCAAAAGCCCTCAATGATAAATATGATGTTTCGTATATACGGGCTCTCTGTAATACCTCGCAGGGCACCCCAGAGAACTAATCCATTGTTCTAGGATCTTGCTCAAATACTCTGACAGAGAGAGTTTCCCACCTCTCTGCTGGCCAATTAGAGTAAAGACTTGAGCGTGGTTTAGACTTACTCAGCCAATCCGTTGATGCACCCCTGTTGCCAGCCTCTTCTGTTACCAGGCATACGTTTATCATAACAACCTGTCATAGTGAGAAGAGCCAGCTCCCTTAGACACCATTCCTACGTCCAAGGAAGGTTCACAGATCACAAAGAACCAGTATAGTCTAGCATTTGGAGACACAAATCCCTATCTCACTTTACCCCCTAAAACAGCTCTTCACGTCAATCACAGCTTGCCAGGTGTCACAACCTACATTAGCCCAGTCAAGAATGGATTCTTTCTAAGTTAGTCATCCCATCAATTATAAAAAATAATAAATCTCTCACAATCCCTCTTTTCACACCCCCTAGGGTGTGATTCAAAAAATAAGAAAACACAGGGTGTCATTCATTATAATACAATACAAACAAAAAGAATCACACTTTTATTAATAGACTATAATGATACAAAAAAATTAAAACCCTCAGTCCATCTACACCCAACTTGCAAATTGTTACCAGTCATCAAAGAACTTCAAACCATCACATAAGGAAAGACAAACATTCACATGGTTAACTTGATTAATAAAGCATAAAACACAGGATTAATAGAACACAAAACATAAGATTATTAAAACATTAAACACAAACAGAGAAGTACATTTTGGCCCCCTTTAGACACCCTCTAGTGTCACTCCACCAAGCCTGGTAGGTCATATCCTTAATTCCTTAGGTCGGAGTCCAGGATTGGGCCGTATCTCACCATCTGTTGGGAAACCACCTTCCCCATCAACTTTCTCACCAAACCTCAGACACAGGAAATAAGACAACATCCACAAAGAACAAGTATACCCATAGAAGCTATAACTTCACCCAGAATAGTTACAACAATAGTTTTCCATTTACCAAATATGTTATCAAACCAACCGTTTTATGGAGCTATCAATACCAGAGTTCTCAGCCAGTTTGTTCGTCAGTGTAGTTACTCCCCTGAAACTCTTTTGTTACGGACCCGTCCGGTGCTATATTGTTTAAGGATGAAAATACAGCACATATATCCACACAGAACACAAACTCCGCCCCGCTCAGCCAAAAGCATATCTAAAGCTATTCTATTCTGCCATGTCATTAAGCTAGTTGCCGCTGTCTGCTCAGCTAATCCCTTTAATGCATCACGAGTGTGGTTTATAAATCTTTGCTGGTTATAGTAAATATAATTTATCCAATCTACGTTTTTATTAATTGTTGACCACCAAAAAAGACTTGATTCAAACTCAGCTACGATCTGATTCCTAGCTTTGAATTCTTCTGGAACTCCTCGAGGTACTCCTATCCCATCAAAGGATCCTTTCATCAAAGGATCCCGGGAGGAGGTCCTACTTTCTACGTGACAACTCACCAGTCTCTGACACGTTTGATTATTTGCGTATGTAGGTGAGTTCACAATCAGTTATCACCACACATCCATCAGATGTCAGCACGGGCCTGGTTTTGGTCTCTAAAATCCTCTGGCTGCAACAAAGAGGAGAGATTAGTCATGGTCTCTTTTAGTTGTGATATTCTCTGTGTAGGAGCAGGAGCTAAGATGTCCTACTCTGTATCCTATCTTACTAGTCCTAGAAAAACAATTAGAACCCCCTGAGACTTCAAACGTAGGCAACCTAGGTCGGAATGACTTTGTTATCGGGGGATACAAATAGTTCAAGTTACTACAAGACTCTTTCACCACATTCCCAGGTGGCTTGCATGGAGGATAAACCTGTTTTTGCGTACTTCAGACTTTCAGACAGTACCTACCCTTCTATGGGTCGCACTGCCATTTCTGGTAATTCCCTACTTTCACAATACTACACCTGTCTCTAAACTGTGTATGGAGATTTAACTACTACTTCTGGCTGATCAGAAGGGTCTGAGTGTGTTAGGAATATGGCCCCCACAATCAGACAGCTACCTACCGTCAGGAGACCTGTGAATCCCCACCCTCGCCCTGAGAACATGTCAGACGCCAACCCATTGCTTCACCTTCTACCGAACTCACACAGGGATGATCAGACAGGGTAAGGGAATCTTCGTTAAGGAGCCAACCCCCGAGCCCTAATGGTGATCGGTTCTTTCTCCTAACTCTGTGTTTGTTCATCAGGTGTAACTGGGTTTACCTTTTTGCAGTGTGTGACATGCACCCAGGTGGATCTAATAGGACTTGATAGGGCCCTTCCCAACAGGCCTGCTTCCAGTTTTTCTTCTTTTAGGGACTGGATCCACACCAAGTCTCCTGGTGAGATAGAGTGGGTCACCTTCTCCTTTAGTTCACCTGTGGGGCACAAAACCTCTGACATACAGGTGTGGTTAATAAACTATCTTCACACATACATGTTGAGCTCTCAATTTCTATTTTTTTTTTTTTTTTTTTTTTTTATCGTATCATTATTATTTAATCCTATCACTCCCCCTTTTTGACACATGATTTGCCCATGTGTCAATATTACCACCTTTCTAAACCATCCCTTAGGTAATTTATCATCCAATTGCCATGCCTTTCATTTTTGAGATTGTCTTTTGCTTCTTTATTGCTCCTCCCACTTCCTTTGTCTTTTATGGCAGATAAATTCGACTTTCATCCAGTTCAGAATCAGTTAGTAATCCAATCTTCAATCTCTTATCTTGTAAAAACACTCATGTTTAGTTCAAACTCTGTTCTACCCAGGCTCTCCCGGGCTTGACCTGAAGACTGATTGTTGGACATGACAAGTCTATATTTAGGTCACCTAAGTCTACTGTCTAGCAACAAAGAATAAAAATCTCTATGTTCATGATTAACCCAGTTATATCTAATAGCCCACCAAAAAACCTCATCATCTTTAAATCACGACCAATGTCATATCCCTCTTTACTCTCTACCATTTGGATAACATCCCTGATGTATATCTGCCTCTTTAGAGTTCCAAATTACTTTACCATGGGCTGCCATTGCCTTCTCATAGATAAGATCACTTAATTTACCCGTATGCAGTACATAATGGAGTACCCAAACTTTACAGCACTTTATCATTACCAAAAAGCTCATCATTTGTTTTTTGTTTAACGGTTTTGGCGCTTCAAGTATAGCAGTTTTCCTGGATGAGTTTAACATTCGCCCCTCCTGAGTTATAGTGTGTCCTAGGTAAATGACCTCGCTCTGCCAAAGTTGAAGTTTCTTTTTGCTCACTTTGTGTCCCTGTTCTGCCAGGAAGGTTAACAATTGGATTGTATCCCTCTTACATCCCTCCTGAGTGGGATTAGCCAATAGAATATCATCTACATAAACTAACATTTGTCTTCCTTCCCTAGGTTCAAACTTTACCAAATTCTTAGTTATAGCCTGGACAAAGATTGTAAGACTTTCCGAGTAGCCATGAGGCATCCTAGCGTATGTCCATTTCCTTCCCTGAAAAGTAAAGCCAAACCACCCCTGACTATCCGGATGAACTGGGATACTAAAGAAAGCATTAGCTAAATCTATCACTGTAAAATAGGAGTTATCTGGTTTCATTTGGTTCAGCAATGTATGTGGATCTGGTACACATGGAACTCTGGGAATTATATTTCTATTAACCCCCTGCAAGTCCATGACCATCCTCCAGTCGGCGCTAGGTGCCGCCTTTTTAACAGGAAATACTGGAGAGTTGCATTGTGCCTCATCTCCAGGAATTATCACCCCTCCCTTAAGTAAATGCTCAAATGTAGGTGTTATCCCTTTTATTGCTTCTGGTTTCATAGTATATTGCTTTTGGTATGGTCTATTATCGGATCGAGGAATCACTTGTACTGGAGCTACCCCCTTAATTAGTCCTACATCTGTTGTCCTTGTGACCATAATTTGAACGGAATTGCTGCTAACTCAGCCTCCTGTTCCTGAGTTAAGAAAATCTCTTCCTGTCATCCGTTAAAACGTATCTCCAGGTGGACCCTGGGCTGGGTTTTTGCTCTCCAATTCAACTTTCTTCTATATCTCGCAGTGGAGTGGCCATACTGATCCCCATTTGGTGTATTCTGCCAGTCAGTAATGTTTTTCCCCTGTTTTATCCATTTACCTAGTGATAACCATTCCTCTGATTACTGCAGCTTATTCCATTAATTTAGGTTCAAATATCCCCCAACAAACCGTTCCATCCTACAGCATAGTAAACACCACCCATGATCTGTTGAAAATCCCCTAAATTCAACATAACAACCCTTTATAAACATCATGCTGGGTGTGTTTTTTTAAATTTATTTGATAAACCCAATTGAAAAATAACAATCAGAGATAGTTGTGGTCCTCTGTAGCTCAGCTGGTAGAGCACGGCGCTTGTAACGCCAAGGTAGTGGGTTCGATCCCCGGGACCACCCATACACAAAAAAAAATGTGTGCACGCATGACTGTAAGTCGCTTTGGATAAAAGCGTCTGCTAAATGGCATATTATTATTATTATTATTATAGTTAGGCTCAACTTAATTTGGTAGCTCCCTCTTATGACCTAAATACTGCCTAACTGAGATAATCTCGTTCTCCTGGTTATAATCTAAAAATGGTAGTACACACAAAACATGATAGAGATATCCCCAGTCTTAACCCATCAATAATTGTTTGTATCAATCTAATTCCTCATAACTAATCCATAAAACCACTCAAAATTCCTCGAGTATACAATGATTATTTAATTGATTACCCTAACTCTGCTACATGTGATCTCATCTCAAATGATCCATTATCAATTATTTGTTCAACCCCCTAGGAAAATCTGTCTCCCCTTCTATTGTTCCTGTCCCCCCTGTTTTACCAATCCAGGACCCACCACAGGCTGGCGCTATTTCCCCAGCACAACAGTCAATGCATACTTTCATCCTAACCAAAATAAATTATCGTTCTAAAATTGTCCAACTATTTTGTATTTTCCCGCTAACCCATTTCAGTTCGCTATTCAATTTATTTAACTGTTCTCTCTGATTAGGCCCTAATTAATAAAACAAATACTTGCTATTGTTTATCAGCACACACTTAATGACATTCCTATTATCTGAACTATGTCCTGTCTCTTACCTCTCCTCCCCCTCTCCTTCTCCTTCCTACATTATGGGGGAGGCGCGGGAAACTTCCCTACAATCTTCCTTCTTAGGAAATAATGTCATTCGTACTTGTAACATATTTTCATAGACTTATCTAGAATACTACTAAAGCTATCTTATGCAACTTTTAATATAAGTAAAAACTCTCTCTCTCTCCACCCATTCCCTATTGAATAAGTGAGTTTTTTCTATTTAACCCCAAAACACGCTACAAATAGTCCATTCAACATTACCAAACCAAATACTCCATCGTACCCATTCAATCAACACATCAGCAGTGGAATTTACACTCATAAATGCAGATCGTTACTCCATGCCTTGAAATGATAAATAGATTTCCACCAATAGTACCATTAATGATCTCATCTTACCCTCTGACACAAAATGAAAGTTCCCTCACTGTACTACGCTAGCTCTACCATGATAATTAGTTCAATTTAACCCTCTATTTGCTTTGTACTATATTATACATTACGTCTAAAACAACATTACTTATGGTCAGTTTATTCCACCATCACATGATCCAACAACGCCACAACCTTAAACTCATATGGGGCGGCAGGCAACTTAGTGATCAATAGCGCCGCGCCAACAACCGAGAGGTCGCCGGTTCCAATCCCCGAGCCAACCAGGCGAGAAATCTGCCGATGTGCCCTCAAGCAAGGCACTCAACCCCAATTGCTCTGGACAAGAGCGTCCGCCAAATTACCAAAAATGCAAATGTTAATGTTCTCTACTTTCTCACCCATGACGCACGTCTACGCTCGGGTGAGCAAGTTTAGAACATTCTCTCGTCAGATACCCACATGCATTCCCAGCCAACTCCCAGTCTTTTCCTGGCTCCAAAAGCCACACTTTCGCTCTCTCCAGCCCCTCCCCTCGCAACTCTACTTCTTTCCTGTTCAGGGGGAACAGGCTTTTTTGAGGAGCGTGAGGAGCTGTTTTCTCGTTTTTAGCGCGTTTCCAATATTCTGCTGTTATTCAAAGTACTTTAGTCTATTTATTTAAATCAAATAATTCCCACCTAATTAGTTAAAGTTGGTGCACGTTTATTTCAGCCTTAATTATTTGAAAGCAGTATTCTTACAGTGCCACACATCAAATGGTATATTGAACGAATAAACCCAAGTGTTTTAATTAATTAACCAATGGTTGTTATATCAAATCAAGCTCCACACCATATCACTTCAATTTACTTATTTAAAACCATTTCTATGCTATGTCAAACACCAAAAGTTAAAATTTCAATTAAACAGTGCAGCCAAGTTCCTCATTGCTCCATGCTCCTCAGAAAACCATGGAGGGAATGGAGGAGGCAGTCAGGGTGCTGGAGAGTGTGGTGAAGTGGGAAGTACAGAAACACGGGCCAAACAAACCACACCACACACACACACACACACAACTAATGAGGAGATGAATATATCAACCAGGAATCTGTAACCACACTCTCGTCTTAAATATACTCCTCTCTCTCCAATTCAATTTCAATCTTTCATTTTTTAATTAAGTTTAGCAATGTTTTTATGTAATGGGCTTCTTTAGTGGCAAACATGGGAAAAACATGGAAACATATATTCTTGTTTACTGTCACAAAGCAAATGTGGAAAAAATTAAGTTGAAATTAGATAATAAACAAAGGTGAAATAAACAATAAAAAATGAACAGTAAACATTACGCTCACAAAAGTTCAAAAATAATAAAGACATTTCAAATGTCATATTATGTCTATATACAGTGTTGTAATGATGTTTCAAATAGTTAAAGTACAAAAGGGAAAATAAATAAAACATAAATATGGTTGTTTGTTCTTCACTGGTTGCCCTTTTCTTGTGGCAACAGGTCACAAATCTTGCTGCTGTGATTGCACACTGTGGTATTTCACCCAATAGATATGGGACTTTATTCAAATTGGATTTGTTTTCGAATTCTTTGTTGGTCTGTGTAATCTGAGGGAAGAATGTGTCTCTAATTTTGGTCATACATTTGGCAGGAGTTTAGGAAGTTGCAGCTCAGTTTCTATCTCATTTGTGTGCAGTGTGAACATAGCCTGTCTTCTCTTGAGAGCAAGGTCTGCCTTCGGCTGCCTTTCTCAATAGCAAGGCAATGCTCACTGAGTCTGTACACAGTCAAAGCTTTTCCTTAGTTTTGTGTCAGTCACAGTGGTTAGATACTCTGCCACTGTGTACTCTCTTTTAGGGCCAAATAGCATTCTAGTCTTTTTGTTACTTCTTTCCATTGTGTCAAAGTAATTATCTTTTTGTTTTCTCATGATTTGGTTGGGTCTAATTATGTTGCTTGTTGCTGTCCTGGGGCTTTGTGGGGGTCTTTTTTTGTTTGTGAACCAGAGCCCCAGGACCAGATTACTTAGGGGAACTCTTCTCCAGGTTCATCTCTCTGTAGGTGATGGCTTTGTTATGGAAGGTTTGGGAATCGCTTCCTTTTAGGTGGTTGAATTTAACGGCTATTTTGGATTTTGATAATTAGCGGGTATCAGCATGATATTTTTCCAGAATTCTGCAGAAGGAGTTTCAGTGTGTCCCATTGTGGGAATTATTTGGCTGGTTGAGCGTGGCCTCAGACCTCAAAAACATAAGGGGAATGGGTTTATAACTGAGTCATAGAGTTTTTAGCCAGATCATAATTTGGGTAGTCGAAAATCCTATGTTCCTTTTTGATGGCAAGAGAAGGCCCGTCTTGCCTTTGTATGTGGTTGACCTTCTCGCTCTCTCGCTCTCTATATCGCCCTATAGACTATCGCTGATGCGCTATAATCTGGCGTAGCGCGCCGAGACTCGCGAGTCTCGCGGCTCGCGGCGACTCGTCTGCTCGCGCTCTCTTATCTCTATCGGCCTCTCATCTCTCTCTATCTCTCTGTCTCTCCCCTTCCCCTCCTCTCTCTCTCTCCCTCTTCTCCCTTCTCTTTCTCTCTCTCTCTCTCCCCTCTCTCTTCTCTCTCTCTCTCTCTATGGTCACAGCTGGATCGGACGTGTGATGGTGAGACTCCTGACCTGGGTGATCTGGAAGAGTCTGAGAGGAAGACAGTCCAGGCCATACTGGATCTTGTAGACCAATGTGTTGGGAAGGATGAGGACGAGTTCAGATCTCACTTCTCACTGCCATCCACCTCATTGTCAGTGCCATGGACGGTGAGATAGAGAGCAGTTTCCACAGGATTCTGTGTTATTATTTGATCAGTTACTGGGAAACTAGGTTCACTACTGTGGTTTTATATGTGTGCATATTTATTTCTACAGGAATGACAGATGAGGGTCTCTCTGTGTTGGGATCATGTTGCAGTCCTCCAGTCTTACAGGCCCTGCAGATCCTGGTGAGTTCACACCTGCTTGATTGAGCCTCCAATCCTGTATGGACGGGACTTCATTTTTTCTACATTTTTGTTTATGTAAATGTCTTTGGGTATATCTTCCCATTCTAAATAAACTAATATTTCTACCATTATGATAACATTGTGCCACCAGTAGCAGTATAGTAACACCGATGATAGTAACCAGTGGCGATTTTTAACAAAAATATTGGTGGGGCAAACTCAATGAAAAAAGTGAATATGAATCGATACATTACTACACTACACTAACCATAGAATGCCACCATCATGAATAATTACCACTCCCAGAAATGAGTTTAGAGCCACACACACAAACGTTCTAACATATGGGTTATGATCAGTGTATAGGCTACTTTCCCATATCTTTGGCTCTCATCACAACCGGCCGTGATTGGAAGTCCCATAGGGTGGCGCACAATGGCCCAGCGTCGTCCGGGTTTGGCCGGTGTAGGCTGTCATTGTAAATAAGAATTTGTTCTTAACTGACTTGCCTAGTTAAATAAAGGTAAAATAAATAAATAAATACATTTTAAAAAATTGCACAGAGACCACGGTAGTCCGGCATACTTTTTTAAAGAGTAAAGTTGATTTTACTTCAGAATCAATCTCAGCATTGGTCTGCAATATTGCTAATCATTGTTAGAGTATTGGGACACAGACAAACACCATTCTGAGTGTAGTTGCATCTGCCTGTTAACAATATGCTCCGGTTATGAATAAAACAACAAAGTTTATAAAGCTACTCCCTCGCTTCAACCATTGCATAGAAACAGTTCCATGGGTTATTACATTCTGACATCAATCATTAACAACACGTTGTAGCTAGCTAGCTGTTAGCCACCACAAGTTCTATCCAAACCACTCAGATTGAATTATTTTCTAACTTGCTTTATTTTAATGGAGGCCTGTTCATTGGCTGATGAGCACCAATATGTCTTATCTCTACATTTACTTTATTACGCAAAGTTTGAACATGATTTGCTAGGAGATAGTTGACATGATTCATGAAGACTTTTCAGCTAGCTAGCTAGAAGACGATAAACAACTATGAAATTGACACATCAGTCCAATCAAAGCTACCGGAGATAAGACGTCGATTTATCTGTGGCAAATGACATCAAGCCTTCTTGGGCGGGCACTACTAATGAATCTCTATGGCAGCACCCAAGTGGGCAACCGCTGCCTGAGTCTTCCAGTACATGCTGTTGCACTGTCCCAATGAATTCACTCACCCATCTGAACCTTTGAGAATGTGCCAATCACGTGCAGCCAATTGTGCGCAACCAGAGAAGATCAATGAGGGCTTTCCCCTGGCTGGCCTCTCCACAACAGATCACTGAATGAGGCTGAAACAGCTGCATTAGGGAGCTGTCTTACTCAAAGTGACCAAAATAACAATACAACCGGGAAGCGAGCACGTATGCTTAATTAGCTCAAGCAAATCAAATGTGTTTGCTTACTGATATAATATCATGTTGTGACATGAACGAAAGCCAGAATTACATGCAAAACCACCGCCATCTCCTGGATAGTTGTGGGGCTGCCCTAAATGAACGTGTCGCCACTGACAGTAACACCAATGACACATTTAAGTAATTTAGGATTTTCTTAAATGGAGGCCACCCATCTCAAATCTAAGGTCATTTAACCTTTAGTAAATTATTAAGTAAATTACTTTTTAAAGAGATTTGATTAATCATTTTGCTCAGGGTGTAATTTCCCTTCATTTAAATTGAGTTACACCAATGACACTTTTATTTAAACACACCAAATGATCAATGGAATCATTATATATTTATGACGTACTAAAATGGTGTGATTAGCAAATAATTGTTTTTAATATAGGCCCCTACCCTAATAACAGTTTGCCACTGGAAGGAATGCTCAAGGTCCTTGTATATCTTTGTAATTAGTGATTTACAAGGCGGTAACACTAATGATATTAAATACTTTTGTTTATTTTATAGCATTCAAAATAATCTAAATCCCCAAAACATGTCACTACAACTCTACTCATCACTACTGGGACAAGCCAATTTGCTTTCCCTAAGTACTTTAAACGATGCATAAAAATAAAGTTTTGCAGTATAAAGGACTAATTGTCATTTTAAAGTGTTTTTCATTGTGGCAAAGTCGAAGGATGCAAATGCCACCTTAATTCAAGAATGACCCAGAAAAGAAAGCATATAAATGTTATTCCTGGGCTGCTTGTCCTCCAGGTGCAGCATGTGGCAGCAGGGAGTGGGGAGACCCTCTCTCTGAGAGATGCAGGTCTGGCTGTTCTGACTGAGGAGGAGGTGTTTGGGAGGACAGAGAGTCTCTTTGGTCACTCTAAAGTTACACTGAATAGAGAGGAGGACACACTGAGAACAGAGATGAAGGACCAGCCTGGATACCTTCCTCTTGTCATGAGTATCACTGTGAAAGGCCTGGCTTCTTTAGTGTAAGCTGAGAGAGAGTGAGTGAGTGAGCTAGAAAATCATGTTTGAACTAATATACTCACGATTCCATTCCATGTGTTACTCTTGCACTAGTTGAGCTAAAGAACTAGTGAACAACAATGTATGTATCCTTGTAATGCTTTCAGTAAAGTTCAACAAACAATTACAGACGTCCCGGCCTCCATTCTTCTAATCATAAGATAATATATCATAAAGGCACACTGGTGGGAGGAGGGTGGGGGGGGGGTCCTACATTTAGAGCATTGTCTAGTGACCCACATGACAAGAACAGAAACAGAATCATGTTTAAAATACTGTTCAGCAGAATCACGTCTCCAAAAAAATCCTAAACATTTCTGTGAAGTATGTTATTGTACTGTACAGTCATTTGAAAGTGTAAACTTTCTCACATTACCGTGCTACCAGGTGCAAAAACTACACTTATTAAAACGAACTCCAGCACCCTGGTAATCTTGATGCCTAGAATACCAGTGTGATGTTTTTCTTCTTTTTAATAATGATTGTATACTCAAAGATAACATCCCCAAGGCTCAACATGTGGAGTCAGTATGATGGTCCATTCCTGTGATGTCGCCGAGATTCACAGTGTTTGAACAACGTAGACATTTTGTCATCAGAATACTACAGTATGTTATTACTGCAAGGCTCCTGTGATTTGTTCAAACTGAAACTAAAACGTACCCTTGAACTGTTATTGCAGTTTGGAACTGATAACCATCTGTTAGTGTTTGACTCTCCTACAGTACAGTGATGAGGTATGTGGATGTGACTTTTTGACCCTGTAGTAAAAGTTAGGCCCCGTACACACTCAGGTTGTACAACTGATTCACCACACATTGGACACATGATACAGTAGGCTACTACTGTAGTTCATCTACACAAAATATTTCACACAACCATTGTGCAATGTCTCCACAACACTGTTTGTGTAGAAACACTCTGTTGTATCATAACAGTTTTACCAAATGCGTTGTGCATTAGTTCTATAACTTCAGTGTGAACAGGGCCTTAAAGAGAACATTCCTCATTGCACAAGCTGTGCGCTTCGGTAGCCTGAAGAAACTGAAAGATGATGTGGATAAGTTACTGAGCTATTACACGTATGAACAGGAGCATTATTCTCTGGTAAACTGATGACAACACTTATCAAACCGGAATATACTTCCTAGTAATTTGGCATGTAGTCTGCTTCTCATTGAGTTCTGCCTGCTTCTAGTAAAGTTACAGTATTTTCTCATGAAATAAAACACAAGTGAAGAGCAGGAATGCAAGAGTGGAAGAGGAACGTTTCCCAAGAAGGGGTTAAGATAGAGACTCCTCCTACTACTATGTAATGAACTCTTAGCTAATGCATTTCAGACATACTAGTATCTCATTCTTAACATATCTCCAAGTCATAAGGACCCAGAGGAAGAAGCAGTGCGAACCTGGTAATGAAGGTCTTGCAGTGTTGCGATGAGAAAAATATACAGCATGCTTAGGATAGTCTTGAATGACCAACATTTTTGACTGAAATGATTTCCTGTCTTGTCAAAAGCAATGCTACGCTGTTCTGATCAACTCTTTTCCCAGGGAAAGTGAACCTTTCAAAGATTGTGTTTGCATTATTGAGTGTCTTGCCAACTTTCATGTGTGTGTGAAATGTATTTAGAATGCTCTTCAGAAGCTGTTGTATTGATTGAGTGTTCATGTGTTCATCCTAGTTTTGTTTCTTTGATGTCTTTGTCATCTGCTGTAGTCCGAAACACGATCCACAACCATCATGATTTCCAAGGCCGTAAAATCCATGCTGAAGGAAGTAGATTATAACGGTAGCCTGATCCCTGTGTCCAGTCTGAACGACAGCTCCGGTACTGAATCTCCTCTCACTCATTGTGAAGACCAGGCCCAGATTGGGATGCTTCTGGCAGGAACCGAAATACCAGTCCAGAGGCTTTACCCTGAGTGATGTGCTGAAGCCTGGAAAGCTTGAAGAACCTAAAGACAAACCTTTTAACCCAGGTAAACACTGCAGCCCCTCCAGCAGGGTTGCCAGGTCTAGCTAAAATGTACCTAAATAAATCTGTTTTGCGTTTGTGCATAACTATAGATAAATCTGCCAGGAGAGTTTGAGTGATGAAAGTTGAATCGAGGATCTCAAACACTTGGACTAACTTTAAAAAAATGAATGTTAGACTATTTTCTGGCAATTGTGCCATTATTTTGTGCCAGATGTTAAGACTACAAACAGTTAAAAATGGCCCATTTGCGAGATTGACTTTCATTAGGTATAGGCATAGGCTACAGACTAAAATATGGGTTTATGATTGTGATTCAACTTTGCCATGGTTTGCTTGATAGATGCAGGTAGCCTATAGCCCCTGATAGGCCTACATCTTATTTCAGATAGTCTACAGTAGCGTAGGCAAGATGTAGGCAAGATGTAAACTGAACGATTTAGGAGTTTGTGTTACGCTATGGTTAAACCCAGCACTCAGAGAAACAAAACACGACTAAGGGAGTGGAAGAAACAAAAATTATTTTAATAAAAGTTCAATTTGTCTTAGTCCAAAAACAACTGAAGAAAAGGAACAGAGTGGGCTAGTCGGCTCCGGAGGAAGGAGAGGCTGAGGCAGGCAGGCAGGCAGGCAGGCAGGCAGGCAGGCAGGAAGGCAGGCAGGCAGGTTGGGAGGTATGTCTGAACGCTCTAGTAAGAACAACGATCTGGCGCCGGTGGAGAGCCATGCCCAGGAATTAGTAGTGCAGGTTGATGAGAGAATAGGATGCAGCTGCGTAGGCAGGAATCACTGGAAACAACCCGCAGCTGCACAGGAGAGGCAGATCCTGAGCACGCCCCCCGATCCACTCCAGACACACACCAGCAGACGCACCAACATAATGGGGACAAACACACATACAGATACAACATACAAAGAGGGGACAGAACCAGGAGGAAGGGAAACAGAAAAGGGAGAGACAAGCTGCCCACACAACAGTACCCCCCCTCAATGGTCGCCACCTGTCGACCCACCAGGCCTGTCAGGGTTGTCGTGATGGAAGTCCGTGATCAGCTGAGGATCCAACACAAAACGCTTAGGGACCCAAGACCTCTCCTCTGGTCCATAACCTTCCCAATCGACTAGGTATTGGAGACCCCTACCCCGCCTCCGAGAGTCCAGGAGCCTACTGACGGTGTAGGCCGGATGGTCGTCAATGAGGCGAACAGGTGGAGGTGGATCTGCCGGCGGACACAAAAGGCTGGAGGACACAGGTTTCAGTTGGGAGACGTGGAAAGTAGGGTGTATCTTCATGGCTGAAGGCAACTTCAAACGAACCGCAGCGGGGTTAACGATGGACTCCACCACAAACGGACCCAGGTACCGAGGAGACAGCTTGCGTGATTTGGTACGAAGAGGTACGTTCTTTGATGACAGCCAAACTTCTTGACCAGGATGAAATACAGGTGCGGGAGTCCTGCTCCTATCCGCTGTCGTCTTGTTCCTGTCGGTGGTCCGAAGCAACGCTTCCCGAGCGTCGCTCCACACTCTCTGGCAGCTGCGGAGGTTCTCCTGAACCGAAGGAACAGCCAATTCCTTCTCCTGAGCAGGAAACAGAGGGGGTTGATAACCCATGGTTACCTCGAAGGGTGAAAGGCCGGTGGCAGAGGTGGTGAGGGAGTTGTGGGCGTACTCTATCCAAGGCAGATGTTTGGCCCAGGATGATGGATGTTGAGCAGCCACACAACGAAGGGTTGCTTCGAGGTCTTGATTGGCTCTTTCTGTTTGACCGTTGGTCTGGGGATGAAACCCTGAGGACAGACTAACGGAAGCACCCAAAGCAGAACAGAAAACCTTCCAAACACGGGAAGTAAACTGTGGGCCTCTATCAGATACGATGTCCACAGGTATTCCATGGGGACGGAATACATGTTGAACTAGGAGGTCCGCTGTCTCACTGGCAGACGGTAATTTTGGTAATGCTATATAGTGAACAGATTTAGAGAATCTGTCCACAATGGTAAGTATAGTATCATTACCTTCAGACTTGGGTAGGCCGGTGACAAAATCCATGGCTATGTGGGACCAGGGACGGCTGGGAACTGGGAGGGGTAGCAGCAGCCCCGAAGGGGACTGATGGGAGGCTTTGCCCCGAGCACAGGTTGAACAGGCTGCCACAAAAGCCCGAACGTCAGTTTCCATTGAAGGCCACCAAAAATGTCTCTTAAGCAGCGTCAACGTGCATCTCATCCCAGGGTGACCAGCAAAACGGGAGGTGTGAATCCACTGCAACACCTGAGACCGGACCGTCTCGGGAACAAAGAGTAGGTTGGGAGGTCCATCACCCGGTCCCGGGTCCGTGGCAAGTGCAGTCTTCACAAGAGACTCGATCTCCCACTGTACTGCCGCCACGACGCATGAGGAAGGTAGGACTGCCTCAGGCTCGCTGGTCTCCGAAGGGTCAGCAAACTGGCGGGACAAAGCATCTGGTTTAACATTTCTTGACCCCGGTCTGTATGTTAGAATAAAGTTAAACCTACTAAAAAACAGGGCCCATCTGGCTTGGCGTGAGTTGAGTCTCTTAGTGGCTTGGATGTAAGCCAAGTTTTTGTGGTCTGTCCAGACCACAAACGGCAGTTCAGCTCCATCCAGCCAGTGCCGCCATTCTTCCAGTGCTAGCTTGACCGCCAGCAGTTCCCGGTTTCCAACGTCGTAATTCCGTTCTGTGGGTGACAATTTCTTGGAGAAAAAAGCACAGGAGTGAAGCTTTTGGTCAGTGGGGGAGCGCTGGGAGAGGACTGCTCCCAGACCTGAGTCAGACGCGTCCACCTCCACAATAAACTGCAGAGAGGTATTGGGGTGTATCAACACGGGGGAGGTGGAAAACAGTTCCTTCAAAACCCCTACCGCCTGCTCCGCCTCAGGGGACCACAGAAAAGGGACTTTTGGGGATGTGAGTCTAGTAAGGGGTGCCACCACTTTACTAAAACCCTTAATGAATCTACGGTAGAAGTTAGCAAAGCCCAAAAATCATTGAAGTTGCTTACGGGTGGTGGGTGTGGGCCATTCCGTCACTGCCCGGATCTTCTCGGGGTCCGCCTTCACCTGCCCGCTCTCAATGATGAAACCAAGGAACGATGTAGACTGTTTGTGGAACTCACACTTTTCTGCTTTGACGTACAGCTTATTCTCCAAGAGCCGTTGAAGGACTTGACGGACGTGTGACTCATGCTCCTCGGGTGACTTGGAAAAAACAAGAATATCAGCCAGGTATACAAAGACAAAACGGTTCAAAAAATCCCTAAGAACATCGTTCACCATGGCTTGGAATACAGCAGGGGCGTTTGAGAGCCCAAAGGGCATGACCAAATACTCAAAATGCCCCAGTGGAGTGTTGAAAGCGGTTTTCCACTCATCTCCCTTTCGGATTCTGACAAGGTGATAAGCGTTCCTGAGGTCGAGCTTGGAGAAAACTGTGGCGCCATGCAGAGGTTCAAAAGCTGAGTTGATGAGTGGAAGGGGATACTTGTTTTTAACAGTTATGTTGTTTAAACCCCTGAAATCGATACAGGGGCGTAACGACTTGTCTTTCTTTTCAACGAAAAAGAAACCTGCACCCAAAGGAGACGACGAGGGACGGATTATGCCCGAGGCCAGAGAATCACCAATATACTGCTCCATTGCCTCTCTTTCCGGTCGGGACAGATTGTATAAGCGACTAGAGGGCAAGGGAGCACCAGGAAGCAGTTCAATAGGGCAATCATAAGGCCTATGTGGTGGTAGAGACAGAGCCTTGTCCTTACTGAAAACCTCAGCTAAGTCATGGTATTCTTTGGGGACAGATGACAGATCGGGAGGAGCTGAGGGATGAGTTGGGTTACACTTAGTGGGGGGAACCGCTGACCTAAGGCACTCTGAATGGCAGTTAGTGCTCCAACTGAGAATGGTGTGACGTGTCCAATCAATTTGTGGGTTGTGAAGAGCCAACCAGGGGAAGCCAAGGATTAGGGGGGTAGCTGAGCCAGACATAACTCTTAACTGAATGCTTTCACAATGATTGCTAGAAATCACTAGGGAAACGGGGGTGGTTTGATGAGTTATCTCCGCGAGGAGGCGCCCATCAAGGGCTGTGACTCGAATGGGGGTAGGTAGTGGCTCCACGGGGATACGAGCTTGTGTAACGAACTGGTGGCTAATAAAGTTGTCTTCTGCACCTGAGTCTATGAAAGCTGAGAGTGGCAGGGAATGACTCTGGAAACGTAAGGTTACGCAAGTAGACCCACCGTTACGAGCGAGCCTTGTCTTTTGGTCGCTTAGGGCATGTAGCCAGAATGTGTGTGGTGTCTCCACAGTACAGGCACTCACCCGCCTGGAGGCGCCGTTGCCGCTCTGCTGGAGGTAGTCGAGCTCGACCCACTTGCATTGGTTCCTCCTCTGTGCTCGGGATGGGATCAGGAACAAGAAGCTGCCGGCTCCGGGGAGGCGAGACTCGAGTGGTTGAAGGGTGGGGAACTCGTCCTCCTAGATGTGGGCGACCGCCTCTCTCCCGACGCCTCTCCCGCAACCGGTTGTCTAGCTTAATGGACAGGGAAACGAGAGAATGTAAATCATGTGGCTCGTCACGAGCAGCCAGTTCATCCTTAATGGCTTCATTCAAACCGTTTAGAAATGCTCCTTGAAGTGCCACATTGTTCCACTTGGAGTCCGCTGCCAAAGTCCAGAACTCAATAGAGTACTCAGCCACACTGTTAGAACCCTGCCTCAAATTAAAAAGTCTCTTGGAGGAATTACCCACATGGTCAGGATGGTCAAAAACAGTCTTCAATTTAGCAGAAAAATCAGCAAAAGTCAATCCAGTCAAAGTTTGATTTGAGCACACAGCCTCAGCCCAAACCAGAGCTCTCCCTCTTAACAGCCCCAGAACATAATGTACCTTAGAGGAATCAGTAGAAAACGACAGTGGTCTCTGCCGAAAAATCAAGTCACACTGAAGCAAAAATCCCCGGCACTTGTCCAATTCTCCATTGAACGGTTCAGGCGACGTGACAGGGGGTTCCCGATGGAACGAAGCCTGCATAATGTCAGAGGAAACAACTTGGGGTGCATCAAACTGGGGGTCAGAGAGAGATGGAGAACTGATAACAGACAATTTAGAGACTTGTGTTGTTAACTGAGTCACCTGGTTCAGCAGTTGATGATTATTTTCCAAAAGAGTCCGAATCAATTGGTCATGCTGTCCTAGCAACGTTCCTTGAGCCTGGATAGCTTGTTGGAAGCTGTCTTTGTCTGCCCCGTGCTGTTTCTCTGTTGGGTCCATGGCCAGATCGTTCTGTTACGCTATGGTTAAACCCAGCAATCAGAGAAACAAAACACGACTAAGGGAGTGGAAGAAACAAAAATTATTTTAATAAAAGTTAAATTTGTCTTAGTCCAAAAACAACTGAAGAAAAGGAACAGAGTGGGCTAGTCGGCTCCGGAGGAAGGAGAGGCTGAGGCAGGCAGGCAGGCAGGCAGGCAGGCAGGCAGGCAGGAAGGCAGGCAGGCAGGTTGGGAGGTATGTCTGAACGCTCTAGTAAGAACAACGATCTGGCGCCGGTGGAGAGCCATGCCCAGGAATTAGTAGTGCAGGTTGATGAGAGAATAGGATGCAGCTGCGTAGGCAGGAATCACTGGAAACAACCCGCAGCTGCACAGGAAAGGCAGATCCTGAGCACGCCCCCCGATCCACTCCAGACACACACCGGCAGACGCACCAACATAATGGGGACAAACACACATACAGATACAACATACAAAGAGGGGACAAAACCAGGAGGAAGGGAAACAGAAAAGGGAGAGACAAGCTGCCCACATAACAGTTTGTTTAGTTCAAATTAGCAGAATAATTTATTCAACATGAATAGCGAGGCGATTTCGAGTTAAGAAGTGCTTGTGTTTCCCAATAGCCAGCTGGAATAGGCTACTGAGGATGGGGTCATAATTTCAATCACTGAATTAAATATTAATAATATGTATATGAACTGAATATGCTTGTCAACAATAGCCAGTGTTTCTTTTTTTCTTTTTTACCTGTAGCCTAAACAATTGATCGGCAATTGCGATAGAGCTTTGATAACTTACATTTTAATTAACTAAACATGTCCATTAATAATTGCATAATAACACAAGGTTACAACAACAATAAACTGAAGTTATGGGCGATTTATTAAATCCGTGTGCCAGCTCCAGGTAGGCTACACAAGTGGCACAAATTGATTTGCAATGACTCCAGGGATATAGTCATTTCAACATATTTATTGTGCCAAATGGTAGCCAACAGTAGCCTACAATGGCATATCAATGAATAGGCTAATAGGCCAACAGATGCAAAGGTGTCATTTTTCACATTTGTCCGTTTCATTGAGGACTTTTCCGCATAACAGAGTCACGCTAGGTAGTTCCATAACGTCCATTTCAAATGTCCACTAGTACATCCCCCCAGACCCTAGAACTGAGCATGTGTAAAACACTTTGCTTGAAACTGTTTTCCATAAGCAAAGTCGATATTAGAATGTAGTTTAAACCATCTCCACGCAAATTGTTCTAATGCGCTCTAGTACACCCAAAGTCGTCTTCCAGTGTTTTGTGGCCGTTATTTCTTGATGCGCATCATTTCTAGCGTGTTAATATGTTTTATTGTAAAAGGGTTGGAAAAAAATAGGTGTCTCCATAATGATTCTAAATAGCCTACCTACAACTGGTAAAAAGTTGTCATCAATGGTAGCCCAAAGGCTTGAAAATGAGCGAACATGGCAACCCTGCCTTCCGGGAACAATTTGCTTACAGTGTCCTCTTTCTATTACCGTAAAACTTGTTAAACGCAGTCTGAAATAGCTGCCTGTCTCTTTTAATAGCCTGGCAACGCCACAAATTTCTGCAAATAAATGCCTGTTTCAAGGAAACGCCAGGTGTAAATGCATTGTTTATGAGGTGACCATGAAACGTTTACAAGGTTTTATGTTTGGTTTGTTACATTAAATAAACCAGTAATAACTCGGGAAAAAATGATGGCAATCATCCATTTTTATCGTGAGTAAAAAACTGCTAGTCATTGCCTTCTAACAGCTGAGAACTGCTAGTTAACTGGCAGGCACAAAAGCAGTCAATTTTGGGAGTACAGACCCCCAGAAATCGGCCGATCGCCTCTATTGCCGAAAGTGCACGGTCAAAGTGGAGAATAATTATTCTGTCAAGGAAAAGTAACACAATCTCACACTCAATTCGTGCAAATATGTACCAAAAGTATTTTAGCAGATTTCGTGCGTTTTTGTGTGGCTTAATTCGTGTGAAAATACACACATTTTTGTGCAACTTAATTCATAGGAAAATACAGTTTTGGTGGGGAAACTTTTGAAACGTATTGAAGTAATGCACTACCTTTTTTTGTGTCCCACATTGATTTATATATAAAAAACAAATGTGTTAACAACACAATATTGTTAATCAACCAGGTTTTCACCGAAATATTTATAATATAATAGTAGCCTTACGCTTTTTTATTATGTATTAATGCCAATGCTGTTTTCTATGCATGTTTTCGCTTAATACTTTTGGATACTGGCGTTATGTCCGATTTTATGAGGGTTGCCAGATTGGTGTAAAAAGCTCTATTTGTTTGTTTTTTGTGTGGTATCGATGAAGGTATTTGATTGGAGAATGGGGATACATTTTCATGATGGGACATTTATTCACCAATAAATGTGGGGAAACAGAAGACCTGCAAAAAAAATCTGTTTGCTTTAAATTGACCTGGTGCGACTGCATGGTATTTACAACTATAACGAGTCTGAACTATGATCAATCAAGCCATATCAATGCAGTTAAATGTAAAATAATGAATTATGTTGGCTTAAATTTATGGCACTTCCAAGGCCGTTTCATGATGGTTAATATAGTCGTGTCAATCATGTTATATATTGTAACGAGGCATATGCCAGCATTGTAGGCCTACTGCTTCTGCCCAGAGGCCTACTAGGCTTTCATGGCAACGGCCGTTAGAGCTCACTTTGCCACGTAGGTTAGAGTCACTGTTGTAGCTTTTGGTGGCTACATTGGTGGCAGCATTAGCATCCCGCTCAGCTCACGTCTAGTTATGTGATCTAGTGGTGGGAAGCATTCTGTTTTTCAACAGTGTGTTGGGTGTAATTACATTGATGTATCTAGTTAGCAATGGATAAGCAACAATGGGAGTGATGGATAGAAGTAGTCACTACAAGTGTGATCAAGCCTTACATAAAAGCTGCCTGAAGCTGAATGGAAACTGCTATGCCCTGACCAGTTATTCAGAAGAAAATCCTCTGTGACTGTCTAATTTACGTAAGTTAACTTACCAGTATGGACCCAAATCAAACACATTCTACACATTTACAAACTACTTGTTTAAAGTGTTATTACAACCATGGTGTTCTTTTGTTACTGAAGCTTATATCAAATAACCTGACAATGATCCACATCCTATGGGTAGACAAATAATGTAAGTGTGTTATGCAGCAAAACACAACTATCCTTTTTTAGGATGCAAACCAGTAATATGAATCACTGTTAAACCATCCTGTTCTGATCTCATGAGATGGATGTAGGATTTTCTACGGCCTAGAATCGAGGCCTTTCCCAGTCGTGAAGGATGAAGCTAGGCCCCTCTTGGTTCTCATTGGCGAAGACTGAACTCAAGTTAGGGGTTACATGTCAGACTCTCCTACACCACCAAATACCCTTTTTAAGGTGATATAACTTGTATCATTATTATAGGACTGTGAAACCCATAGCCGAATGCCTTCACACTGAGCATTTCTCACCATTTATTTACGGATAGCAATTTCCATTTTATAACAAGTAGTGTCCATTTATTTACAGTATTGAGTTGATTCATTTTTGCTTTCTTCAGTGGAAATACAGAATATGTATAAAAATGCCAAATATACCAAAAACTAAATCAAGCAGAGATGTAATACTATTTAATCATGTTATTCATTACTGAAACATGCAAACTACAAACAGTTAACCAGTTAAAGATAATGAATACATGACAACAAGATACAAATATTTTATTTAAAATAATTCATACAAATGTCAAGAGTTGGCTATAACATGAGTACAAACAAAGTGAGTGTGTATATGTGTGTAAGTGTTTGTGTGCGTGTGTGTGTATTATGGTGTGTATTATAATTTCTCATCATAAAATTTTTTCCCCATTCCCCAATCAAATACCTTCATCGATACCACAAAAACAAAACAGAAAAATCTGTATTTTTTCTCCAATCTAGCAACCCTCATAAAATTCGACATAGCCTTGTATAAAATGCATAATGAAAGAAATGGTGTAATGTACACGAAAAAGTGGAGCCATGTATATAATGCATTATGAAGAAATTTGTGTAGGCCTACTGTTGCCTACATGAAAAAAGGGACTTTCTGACTACAAGTGCAACAGTGTCCCAAAGTATTAAACGAAAACAAGCATAGAAAACAGTATTGGCATTAATTTAAAAAACAACGTAAGGCTACTATTATATTATAATTATTAAATAATAATTAAGCTACACAGAAATGCACAAAAACGCACAAAATCTGCTGAAATTGGCGCCGACAGATATGGCGCCGACAGATATGGCAGCTCTGCTTCTAGCTCCTAAGCAACTTTGCAGTATATTGTTTTTTTGTGTGTTATTTCTTACATTGTTAGCCAATATTTTTTTTGTGTTATTACATACAGCCGGAAATAACTTTTGGATATCAGAATGGCGGTAACTCACCAGCATTACGACCAGGAATACGACTTTCCCAAATTGGATCCTTAGTTCGTACACCCCAGGGCAATTTAACTTATTCCAGAGACTGCTCCAAAACACCGCCAGCGGAGAAGAGGTATTCGAAGTGGACTTCTAGTCCGACTTAGGAGGCGTAAACACCATCCACCGCTATATTACTCGCTAATGTTCAGTCTCTGGATAATAAAGTAGATGAGCTCAGGGCGAGGATCTCCTTCCAGAGAGACATCAGGAATTGTATCATACTCTGTTTCACGGAAACATGGCTCTCTCTGGATTTACTGTCCCGTCAATACAGCCAGCTGGGTTCTCAGTACAATGCTTAGACAGGAATAAAGAACTCTCCAGGAATAAGAAAGGCGGGGGTGTATGTTTCATGATTAACTAGTCATGGTGTGATTGTGATAACATACAGAACCTCAAGTCCTTTTGTTCACCCGACCTAGAATACCTCACAATCAAATGCCGACTCTATTACCTCCCAAGAGAATTCTCTTCGGTTGTAGTCACAGCCGTGTATATTCCCCCTCAAGCCGATACCACAACAGCCCTCAAAGAACTACACGGAACTTTATGCAAACTGGAAACCACATATTCTGATTTATCGTAGCTGGGGATTTTAACAAAGCAAATTTGAGGAAAACGCTACCGAAGTTCTTTCAACACATTGACTGATGTACTCTCACTGGAAAAACATTGGACCACTGCTACTCAACTTTTCGAAATGCCAACAAGGCCCTCCCCCGCCATCCCTTCAGCAAATCTGATCACGACTCAATTTTGCTCCTCCCTTCCTATAGGCAGAAACTCAAACAGGAGGTACCCGTGCTAAGGTCTATTCAACACTGATCTGACCAACCGGTATCCATGCTTCAAGATTGTTTTGATCACGTGGACTGGGATATGTTCTGGGTAGCCTCTGAGAATAACATTGACGAATACACAGATACGGTGACTGAGTTCATCAGGAAGTGTATAGGAGATGTTGTACCCACTGTGACTGTTAAAACCTACCCAAACCAGAAACCGTGGATAGATGGCAGCATTTGCGAAAAAAATGAAAGCACGAACCACCGCATTTAACCGCGGCAAGATGACTGGGAATATTGCTGAATACAAACAGTGTAGTTATTCCCTCCGTAAGGCAATCAAACAGCCAAAACGTCAGTACAGAGACAAAGTGGAGTCGCAATTCAACGGCTCAGACACAAGACGTATGGGGCAGGGTCTACAGACAATCACGGACTACAAAGGGAAAACCTGCCACCTCGCGGACACCGACGTCTTTCTTCCAGACAAGCTAAACACCTTCTTCGCCCGCTTTGAGGATAACACAGTGCCACCGACGCAGCCCGCTAACAAGGACTGTGGGCTCTCCTTCTCGGTGGCCGTCGTGAGTAAGACATTTAGCGTGTTAACCCTCGCAAGGCTGCTGGGCCCAAACGGCATCCCTAGCCGCGTCCTCAGAGCATGCGCAGACCAGCTGGCTGGAGTGTTTACGGACATATTCAATCTCTCCCTATCCCAGTCTGCTGTCCACCATTGTTCCTGTACCCAAGAAAGCAAAAGTAACTAAATGTCTATCGCCCCATAGCACTCACTTCTGTCATCATGATGTGCTTTGAGAGGCTTGTTAAGGATCATATCACCTCTACCTTACCTGACACCCTAGACCCACTTCAATTTGCTTACCGTCCCAATAGATCCACAGACGATGCAATCACCATCGCACTGCACACTGCCCTATCCCATCTGGACAAGAGGAATACCTATGTAAGAATGCTGTTCATTGACTATAGCTCAGCCTTCAACACCATAGTACCCTCCAAGCTCATCATTAAGCTTGGGGCCCTGGGTCTGAACCCCGCCCTGTGCAACTGGGTCCTGGACTTCCTGACGGGCCGCCCCCAGGTGGTGAAGGTAGGAAACAACACCTCCACTTCACTGATCCTCATCACAGGGGCCCCACAAGGGTGCGTGCTCAGCCCCCTCCTGTACTCCCTGCTCACCCATGACTGCGTGGCCACACACGCCTCCAACTCAATCATCAAGTTTGCAGATGACACAACAGTAGTAGGCCTGATTACCAACAATGACGAGACAGCCTACAGGGAGGAGGTAACGGCCTTGGGAGAGTGGTGCCAGGAAAATAATCTCTCACGCAATGTCAATAAAACAAAGGAGCTGATCGTGGACTTCACGAAACAGCAGAGGGAGCACGCCCTTATCCACATCGACGGGGCCGCAGTGGAGAAGGTGAAAAGCTTCAAGTTCCTCGGCGTACACATCACTGACAATCTGAAATGGTCCACCCCAGGCAGTGATACAGCGCCTCTTCAACCTCAGGATGCTGAACAAATTTGGTTGGCCCCTAAAACCCTCACAAATTTTACAGATGCACAATTGAGAGCATCCTGTCGGGCTGTATCACTGCCTGGTACGGCAACTGCACCGCCCGCAACCGCGGTCTGCCCAACACATCACCTGGGGAAAACGACCTGCCCTCCAGGACACCTACAGCACCCGATGTCACAGGAAGGCCAAAAAGACGATCAAGGACATCAACCACCCGAGCCACGACCTGTTCACCTCGCTATCATCCAAATGTCGAGGTCAGTACAGGTGCATCAAAGCTGGGACAGAGAGACTGAAAAACAGCTTCTATCTCAAGGCCATCAGACTGTTAAATAGCCATCACTAGGCGGCTTCCACCCGGTTACGTAACCCTGCACCTTAGAGGCTGCTGCCTTATATACATAGACTTGAAATCACTAGTCACTTTAATAATGTTTACATACTGCTTTACTCATCTCATATCTATGTACTGTATTCTATTCTAGTGTATTTTAGTCAATGCCACTCCGACATTGCTCAATCTAATATCTATATATTTCTTAATTCCATTCTTTTACTTTAAGATTTGTGTGTATTGTTGTGAATTATTAGACAGTACTGTACTGTTGGAGCTAGGAACACAAGCATTTCGCTTCACCCGCAATAACATCTGCTAAATATGTGTATGTGACCAATAACATTTTATTTTATTTTATTTGAAATACTTTTTGTACATATTTGCACGAATTGAGTGTGAGATTGTGTTGCTCATTTACCAATGCATAATTTGTGTAATTTTAGGCCAGAATAGCACTTACGCCCCTCTGCCTCCAAGCTGTCAAATTGTTTTGCTCTTACAAGAAGTGTGATTGATTTCTATTTTGGTGCCTTTTGGAGTAACCTTGTGATGTTTTTTTTTATCATTAGGGTCTACATGTACAGTGGCTACAACTTAAGACCCTTGCAGCCTACTGTGGGACCCTCAAAAAGAGACATCAGCACGTTCACCAAGACCTCTGACACAGCAAGGGGTGCTGTTGGTGTTTTCACCTATGATCTCTTCAATCCCTCCAAGAATATGCACACCGAGATAATAGCTGTCATGTTCTCTGTGCCCTATGACTATAACTTGTACTCAAACTGGTTTGCAGTGGGAATCTTCGACAATGACAAAAGATGTGATGAAACTCTTTATAATGAGATGTATAGCAGTGAGGAGATAAGATTTGTCAGGGGTAAAGCAGATGGCTCCAGTATCACTTATAAAGGTGATTATGTGACCATCAAGGCCTCAATGTCAAGCAGTAGTCGTGCAATCATGAAGGTGGAGGTGTGTGACAATTGACAGCATAGTCATTACTAACCTTAAAACACTGATGGCGTCTAACTAAATGACTCATATGTGAAGATCTGAAGTTTAATGAGGAATTTCAATGTGATGTTTGCAGAATAACTTAAACTCTAATAAATAAATGGCAAACAGCTGAGATTGGGTTTGGTTCTGAGTTTATGAAAACAAGGCAAACATTGTACTGAACTATTGAAATGTATGTTGTTTTTATTGCCACACAATAGCTGACTTGACGCCAATGTTAAAATGAATAAAGTTATCCAGTTCAGATATACTGTACAATTCTGCATTTTGGTGCTTCATTAGTGTTTCAAGTTCAAAGTTTATTTGCCACGTTCAAGCGCCTTGGTCCGCTTCTAATAACGATCGTGACAGTCTTTAACCCAAACATCACATTGCGGCCTGTAATTTAATATCAGTCCCAAGGCTCAATCCCTCTGTTCGCTTAGGAGCATAATAAAACTAAACAATGGCAACCAAATGCTTTTCACACTTGTATTCATCATGTGACCATAGCTTCTTCAAATTACTAAGATATTGCATTATTAGAGTGCTATTTGAAAGCCACTAATAACATATTACCATTCACATACTGTCAACACTCATTAAATTTGACATCAACTGATAGATCATGAGTACCATGAATCTTTCCGTTTTACTTTCTTTATCACTGTCTTTGTTACTTTCACTAGTCTCCATATCTGTTTCCTTCAACTAGGACCCTTTACTATTTCCAATAGGAAAACCCTCTCAATCACTACTGCTAATACACACAGATTACTCTCGAACAATGTTCTGCTTTTACCCCTATTGTAAGGTTTAAAAACAAACAAAACAAACATGATAACTTCTGTTCATCAGGATGCCATTGTCCCCTTTTACTTTCTCCTTATTGTTTGCATTAGTCTACCCTAACAATGTTATTATATATATTTATTATCAATTTCCATTGGATATTCACTTTCTGCTTCACACTCATTAAATGTCTATTATTTTGAGATTAATATGTAATCTGCCGAAATTATAAAAAACTTTGGCCAATTCAGAAGGGGAGAGATACATTTTGGAGGGAGCTTCCTTTTTAAGGTAGCTCTCACGACTAGAGTTTTTTTCTAGGATCAACATTTATTATAACTGGGCTAGCTGTAACACTCTGGCTCCAGGGACTCTGATTGTTGAGCCAGGGTTGTTATTTTCATTTAGGGTGTATTTCTATGTTGGATCTAGTTGTTCATTTCTATGTTTGGTTTTGTCGTTGATTAGTCATATGACTCCCAATCGGAGGTAACGAGTGTCAGCTGTCGGCTCGTTATCTCTGATTGGGAGCCATATTTAAACTGTGTGGTTTTCTCCTTGGTTTGTGGGTTTTTGTTTCCGTTTTCAGTCAGGTTGACTGTGGACTTCACTAGTCGTGTTTCTTGTTTTTTTCGTGCTTTAACTAAATAAAGTACCATGTTCGTTTCACACGCTGCGCCTTGGTCAATTCCTTCACACGACCGTGACAGAAAAAACCCACCTAAGAAAGACCAAGCAGCGTGTCCAGGAGCAAGGAGACTGGACATGGGAGGAGGCGCCGGGCAAGGAGATGGAGAGGCTGGCGATGGCCCAGGTGGGCACATCGTGGTCCTGGGAGGACATGCTCGGAGGCAAGGGACCTTGGGGAAGGATCAAGGCCCTGGCGAGAGAGGAGCAACGGCGGCAGCAGGGCCATCGTCGGAGGGTCGTGAGTCAACCCCAGAAAATTTTTAGGGGGGGGCACACAGCATGGACGACGGGGCTGACGGAGGAGAAAAGGGGGAGTATCCAGGAGGCCACCAGGCCCAGGGGTACACCGCCCTGTACGTCCTGTGCTGATGCCTCACACAGAGTGTGTGAGGGTAGGCATTCAGCCAGGACGGGTGGTGGCCGCTGTTCACTCCAGGCCTCCTGTCCGTCTCCACAGCCCGGTCCGGCCTGTTCCTGCCACCCGCACCAAGACTACGGTGCGCGTCGCCAGCCCGACCCGGCCTGTTCCTGCCACCCGCACCAAGACTACGGTGCGCGTTCGCCAGCCCGGTCCGGCCTGTTCCTGCCACCCGCACCAAGTCTACGGTGCGCGTCGCCATGCCCGACCCGGCCTGTTCCTGCCACCCGCACCAAGACTACGGTGCGCGTCGCCAGCCCGGTCCGGCCCTGTTCCAGCCACCCGCACCAAGACTACGGTGCGCGTCGCCAGCCCGACCCGGCCTGTTCCCTGCCACCCGCACCAAGACTACGGTGCGCGTCGCCAGCCCGGTCCGGCCTGTTCCGGCCACCCCGCACCAAGACTACGGTGCGCGTCGCCAGCCCGACCCGGCCTGTTCCTGCCACCCGCACCAAGTCTACGGTGCGCGTCGCCAGCCCGGTCCGGCCTGTTCCTGCCACCCGCACCAAGACTACGGTGCGCGTCGCCAGCCCGGTCCGGCCTGTTCCGGCCACCCGCACCAAGTCTACGGTGCGCCTCAGACGGCCAGAGTCTGCCGTCTGCACCAACGGGGCCTGAACTGCCCGTCTGCCCAAAGCCTGCAAAGCCGCCCGTCTGCCATGAGCCATCAGAGCACGTCCGCCAGACCAGAGCGCTAGAGCCTTCCGCCAGACAGGATCAGCCAGAGCCTTCTGCCAGACAGGATCAGCCAGAGCCTTCGCCAGCATTGAGCCAGCCAGATCCGTCGGCCAGCCATGAGCAGCCAGATCCGTCGGCCAGCCATGAGCAGCCAGATCCGCCGTCGGCCAGCCATGAGCAGCCAGATCCGTCAGCCAGCCATGAGCAGCCAGATCCTTCAGCCTGCCATGAGCCGTCCAGCCAGGTGCTGTCCCTTAGCCCGGTGCTGCCCCTAAATCCAGGTGGAGTAAGTTTGAGGGTGGTCATGTGGAGGAGGCTAGGAAGCGGGTGGTGACTAAGGTGGGGTGGGGACCACGACCAGGCCAGAACCGCCACCAGTGGACAGACGCCCACCCAGACCCTCCCCGAGACTGTATGCTGGTGCGCCCGGAGTGCGCACCTTTAGGGGGGGGTACTGTAACACTCTGGCTCCAGGGACTCTGATTGTTGAGCCATGGGTTGTATTTTCATTTAGGGTGTATTTCTATGTTGGATCTAGTTGTTCATTTCTATGTTTGGTTTTGTCGTTGATTAGTCATATGACTCCCAATCGGAGGTAACGAGTGTCAGCTGTCGGCTCGTTATCTCTGATTGGGAGCCATATTTAAACTGTGTGGTTTCTCCTTGGTTTGTGGGTTTTTGTTTCCGTTTTCAGTCAGGTTGACTGTGGACTTCACTAGTCGTGTTTCTTGTTTTTTTCGTGCTTTAACTAAATAAAGTACCATGTTCGTTTCACACGCTGCGCCTTGGTCAATTCCTTCACACGACCGTGACACTAGCGCTTTGTGGTATCGCGTCGAATGCTGGTGGGTATTGCTGTCAATCAAAGAATACACTTAGGCTGCACCGTATTTTAGAGGCTTTTATTAATACCACGAGGTTACAGCATAAGTTAACAGACCCGCGGAGATCCGGAGAAGCAGTCCCAAATAAATCTCAATGCTTTCTGCCCCTCCGTCGTTTCCCCCAGTATATATAACCTCCCAAGATGTGGGTGGCTCCCTCTACTGTCCAATCCCCGTGTCTACACCACACTTCCTGTCTGTTGTATGTGGCGTTACACTAAAACAGTCCCTCTTGATACCAAAATCAACATTCTTTCAGTTCCACTCAAAAAAACCTTTAACACCATCATAATCTCAATACACTACAGCTTCCTATCAGTCCACGGTCATTGGAGTGCTCTGTCCATAAGGTTTCTGGCACCTGAGACAGGATAGACTGGGAAACAGAGCCCAGTTTCCCACTCCGTCTCGGGGAGTGGTTCAGATTTCCCTACCTGCGAATTGGTTTAGAACTTCATCATTAGGGATATCAACGAAAACTCCATCGGGAGTACAATCAATCGTAGCATTAAGTTTAGTTAACAAGTCTCTACCTAGCAAGTTGAACGGTTGAGTGGGTGAATACAGAAAATCATGTTCAACATTCATTGGTCCTACAGTATTGAACAGGGTATGGGTTTTGTTCCAAAATGTATTACCGGGGTGGAGAAAATCCCATAAGCGTTTATAGTTTTATTAGTTAGGGATAGGTCAAGTCCAGTTTCTTTACCAAAAGGGGATGTAGTAGCACTTGTATCTACCACATAGGAATTTGTTTTCCCTGTATGTTTACCATAAGTTTTGGGCCAGATTGATCTACTTGTACCTGTGGGCATTGCTGTATCAAAGATGTTGTTTACCCTAAGGGGTGTTCCTGTTCTGATCTACCTCCTCTCCTCTGTGGTTCCAATCTCTTTGGACACTCATTTCTCCAGTGGTTTGTGACAATGGAAGCAGTCTTCATCTCCATTATTCCTATTCCTATTGTCCCCATCTCTATCCCCCCTGAACAAGAACCCCATGGTCACTCTGACAGAGCTCTAGAGTTTCCTCTGTGGAGATGGGAGAACCTTCCAGAAGGACAACCATCTCTGCAGCACTACACCAATCAGGCCTTTATGGTAGAGTGGCCACTCCTCAGTAAAGGCACGTGACAGCCCACTTGGAGTTCGCCAAAAGGCACCTAAAGACTCTCAGACCATGAGAAACAAGATTCTCTGTTCTGATGAAACCAAGATTGAACTATTTGGCCTGAATGCCAAGTGTCATGTCTGGAGGAAACCTGGCACCATCCCTACAGTTAAGCATGGTGGTGGCAGCAAAACTGTTTTTGCTCTGTCATTATGCGGTATTGTGTGTAGATTTATGAGGGAATAAACAATTTAATCCATTTTAGAATAAGGCTGTAACAAAATGTGGAAAAAGTCAAGGGGTCTGAATACTTTCCGAATGCACTGTATATCACGGCATCTTTCCTCATGATCACTGTTTCTTCTTCTTTGCTAACTGCCCAACACCAATTCAAATTAAAAATAATACAGTGACCTTCAACAAAACTTTGTAGATTTTATTTAGGTTGTAGCAATAGTTATATATTTTTTATAGATGTATAATACCAGTAAATGTATTAATGAAGCTGAATACAGCTTTATGCGTAGCCTGGAGAAATCCAGTCTGTTTCTGTTAACATTCCACTCCTTGACACTGCTTGTCATATTTGGCAAAACAAGGAGTGTAATGTACGAACAGACTGGATTTCTCCAAGCTACTTTATAATCATCCAAGAAACATAATAACTTTGAATCATCTTTGCCCTCATCAAAGGACAACTCTCTGATTTATTTGAATCATCTTTGCCCTCATCAAAAGACAACTCTCTGATTTATTTGAATCATCTTTGCCCCTCATCAAAGGACAACTCTCTGATTTATTTGAATCATCTTTTGCCCTCATCAAAGGACAACTCTCTGATTTTTTTGAATCATCTTTGCCCTCATCAAAGGACAACTCTCTGATTTATTTGAATCATCTTTGCCCTCATCAAAGGACAACTCTCTGATTTATTTGAATCATCTTTGCCCTCATCAAAGCACAACCTCTGATTTATTTGTGTCCTCTCCTGCAGGCTTTTGGACATGTCCCACTGTCTGATCCAGCAGACCCGTGAGAAGGCCAGGGAGGTGTTTGCGGTGGTGAAGAATAGGATTGTGACGACCCAGCCGTTCTCGGTCATAGAGGTCCAGCGGGGGGGGGGGGGGGGAACTGATGAGCTTCTGTGGGCCCAAGAACACCCAAGTTCATCCCTCCTTTTATAGGCCCGCGGACCAATTTAAATTGATGTTATTGTTATTATTATTATTAGATTTTTTTGGGGGGAACTCAGTCTGGGTCTCAATTTATTGTTGAGAGTTAGATTAGTAGAATACACAAGGTGCAGTTTCGACATTTGGTTGTGCATTAGCAGTTTTGTCTTGTTTTGTCAGTCACTGACAGTCACTCACCATGTCACTAACATTTTTTAGATTGGTAAATCAGTCTCGCCTGCTATCTAAACTTGTAGTCATCATGTTTCGAATTACCAACCAGGGGTCCCCCATTGATTTTGTTAGTCACTCTCACTCAGATATCATATTAAAAACTGCAAACATTGGTTGCTTAGGGCAAAATATGACTGCATGTGTGTGTATGGATGTGGGTCCGCAGACCCCGCGAGCCACTGAGGACCCTCATGATGAGTTTAGACCCGCGAGCCACTGAGGAGCCTCATGATGAGTTCAGACCCCGCGAGCCCACTGAGGACCCTCATGATGAGTTCATACCTGCGAGCCACTGAGGACCCTCATGATGAGTTCAGACCCGCGAGCCACTGAGGACCCTCATGATGAGTTTAGACCCGCGAGCCACTGAGGAGCCTCATGATGAGTTCAGACCCGCGAGCCACTGAGGACCCTCATGATGAGTTTCAGACCCGCGAGCCACTGAGGACCCTCATGATGAGTTCAGACCCGCGAGCCACTGAGGACCTCATGATGAGTTCAGACCCCGCGAGCCACTGTGGACCTTCATGATGAGTTTAGACCCTCGAGCCACTGCGGACCCTCATGATGATTTCAGACCCGCCGAGCCACTGAGGACACCTCATGATGATTTCAGACCCGCGAGCCACTGTGGACCCTCATGATGATTCAGACCCGCGAGCCACTGAGGACCCTCATGATGAGTTCAGACCCGCGAGCCACTGCGGACCCTCATGATGAGTTCAGACCCGCGAGCCACTGCGGACCCTCATGATGAGTTCAGACCCGCGAACCACTGTGGACCCTCATGATGAGTTCAGACCTGCGAGCCACTGTGGACCCTCATGATGAGTTCAGACCCGCGAGCCACTGCGGACCCTCATGATGAGTTCAGACCCGCAAACCACAGTGGACCCTCATGATGAGTTCAATGGTTTGTGGCCACCACCCCATCAAGTTCCCCATCCCTGGTCTAGTGGTCGACGGATACTGAATGGAATTTACATGTTGTTCTTTATGTGAACCCTTTGTAGATGTGCCCAAAAATTTAAACGAAAACAGTCATAGAAAACAGTAGTGGCTATTAATTTAAAAACTATACTTAGGCTACTATTATATTATAATTATTAAATAATAATTAAGCTACACAGAAATGCACAAAAACGCACGAAATCTGCTGAAATTGGCGCCACAGATTGTCGCCGACAGATATGGCAGCTCTGCTTCTAGCTCTCTTAAGCAAACTTTGCATATATTGTTTTTTTTGTGTGGATTTCTTACATTGTTAGGGCCTAATATTTTTTTGTGTATATACATATCTAGCCGGAAATAAGCTTGGATATCAGGTAAATGGTGCTGTAACTCACCAGCAATGACGTACCAGGAATACGACTTTCCAAATGATGCCTTATTTCGTACACCCCGCAGGGCATTAACTTATTCCACTATGAGAACTGCTCCAAAACAGCACCGCTAGCGGATAAGAGGTATTCGAGAGTGTAGCTTCTATCGACTTAGGAGGGCGTAAACACCATCCAACAGCTATATTCTCCGCTATTGTTCAGCTCTCGGGATATGAAAGTAGTTGTATGATGCTCAGGGCTAGGATTCTCCAAGAGAGACGATCGAGGAATTGTATCATACTCTGTTCACGGATAGCAGGGCTCTCTCTGGATTATACTGTCGCCGTCAATACATGCCATGGCTGGTTCTCAGTACAATGCTATTACAGGAATAAAGAACTCTCCAGGAATAAGATAGGCGGGGGTGTATCGGTTCATGATTTAACTATCATGTGTGCTTGTGATGAACCTACAGAACCATCAAGTCCTTTTGTTTCAGCGACCGACTTATACGCCAGACCTAGAATCTCTCACAATCAAATGCCGACGTCTTTTACCTCCGCAAGAGAATTCTTCTTCGTTGTATTCACAGCCGTGTATATTCCCCTCTCAAGCCGATACCACAACAGTCCCGCCCTCGAAAGTAACTACAAAGGCTACAGCGAACTTTACGCAACTGGAAACCACATATTCTGATTTATCGTAGCTGGGGATTTTAACAAAGCAAATTTGAGAAAACGGCTACCGAAGTTCTTTCCAACAACACTTGACTGATGTGCTCTCACTGGAAAACATTGGACCACTGCTACCTCTAACTTTTCGAATGTGCAACAAGGCCCATCCCCGCCATCCGGCTCAGGCTAAATCTGATGCACGACTCATTTGCTCTCTCCCCTTCTATAGGCATAAGAAACTCTAGAGACAGAGGTATCGCCGTGCTAAGGTCTATTCAAGGCACTGATCGACAACCGCTCTCCATGCTTCCGATGTTTTGGATCACGTGGACTGGGATATGTTCTGGGTAGCCTCTGAGAATAACATTGTACGACTACACCGATACGGTACTGAGTTCATCAGGAGTGTATAGGAGATGTTTGTACCGCACTGTGACTGTTAAAATCCCTACCGCAAACCGCAGAACCGTGGGATATGTATGGCAAGCATTTGCGAAAAAAATGAAAGGCACGATCCCACCGCATTGTAACACCGCGTCAAGATGACTGTGGAATATTGGCTGAATAGCAAACATGTAGTTATTACCCTTCCGTAAGGCAATCAAAGCAGGGCAAAACGTCATCATAGAGACAAAGTGAGTTCGCATTCATAAGCGGCTTGCAGAGCACAAGACGTATGGGGGCTATGAATCAGGTCTAGCAGACATCACGGACTACAAAGGAGAAACCTGCCACATGCGCTGACAGCAACATAACCGACGTCTTTCTTCCAGATCAATCTAGACACCATTCTTCGCCCGCTTTGAGGAATAACACATGTGCCATCACGCAGACGTCAGGCTCGCGCTAACAAGGACTAGTGGGCTCTCCTTCTCGGTGGCGCGTGCGTGAGTAAGACATTTAGCGTGTTAACCTCTCTGCAAGGCTGTCTGGGCCAAACGGCAGTCACCTAGCCGCGTCCTCAGAGCTATGCGCAGGGACGGCGACTGGCTGGAGTGGTTTAACGGACATATTCAATCTCTCCCTATCCAAGTCGTTGGCTCGTCCACCATTGTTCCTGTACGCCAAGAAGCAAATAGTACTAAATGTCATCGCCTCCATAGCACTCAGCTTCTGTCATCATGATTTGTTTCTTTGAGAGGCTTGTTAAGGATTCATTCACCTGCTACTAGTCCTTCCTGACCCGCCTATACCCACTTCAATTTGCTTACCGTCCTCAATAGATCCACAGACGATGCAATCAACCATCAGCACTGGGGGGGGGGGGGGGGGGGGTGGGAAAATCTCGTCCGCTAATCCCTATCGTTGATCAAGAGGATATACTCTTGTGAATAATGCTGTTCATTGACTATATCTTCAGCCTCAACACTATAGTACTCCTCCAAGCTGCATCAATTTAGCTGTGGGCCCTGGGTCTGAAACATCCGCTCCTGTGCAACTGGGCCTGGACTTCCTGACGGGCCGTCCCCCAGGTGGTGAGGTAGGAACCAACACCCTCCAACTTTCAGCTGATCGCTCATCACAAGGTGCGCCCACAAGGGTGTCGTGCTCAGCCCCCTCCTGTACTACCTGCTCACCGCATGACTGCGTGGCCACACACGCCTCCATACTCAATCATCCACTTTTGCAGCTGACACAACAGTAGTGGCTGATTACTTGGCAACAATACGAGACAGCTACAGGAGGAGGTAACGGGCAGGCTTGGGAGAGTGGTGCCGGAAAATAATCTCTCACGCATTTATGGTCAATAAACAAAGGAGCTGATCGTGGACTTCACGAAACAGCCGTGGTGAGCACTCCCATTATCCACATCGACGGGGCCTCCGCAGTGAGAAGGTGAAAAGCTTCAAGTTCCTCGGCGTACACGATCACTGACATACTCTGAATGGTGGCCACCCCAGGCAGTGATACAGATGCGTCTCTTCAACCTGCAGATGGGGCTGAATCATAATTTGTTTGGTGCCCCTAAAACCCTCTAACATAATTTAACAGATGGCCAATTGAGAGGCATCCTGGGTCGGCTGTCTCACTGCCTGGTGAATTCGGCAGACTGCACCCGTCGCAGCAAAGGAGCCGCGGTCTGGGCCAACACATCACCTGGGAAAACGGACCTCCGCTCATTCCTAGGACACTACAGCACGCGATGTCACAGCGATAGGCCTAAAAAGACGATCAAGGACATCAACCACGGCGCGAGCCAACGCTGTTCATCCTCGTTATCATCGCAATGTCGAGGTCGTACAGGTGCATCAAGCTTGGACAGAGAGGACTGATAAACCGCTCTCTATCTCAGGCATGCAGATTGTTAATAGCCTATCACTAGGGCGGCTTCCACCCGGTTACGTAGCTCCTGCAACCTTAGATGGCTTCTGCCTTATATACATGACTTGAAATCACTATCACCTTAATAATGTACATAGCTACTGGCTTTACTGCATCTGCATATCATCTATGTACTGTATTACTATTCTAGTGTATTTTAGTTCATAGGCCACTCCACTCCGACATTGCTCAATCTTAATATCTATGATATTTGCTTATTCCATTCTTTTACTTTAAGATTTGTGTGTATTGTGTGAATTATTAGAAGACAGTAAACTAGTATGCTGTTTGGAGGCTTAGGAGGAACACAAGCATTTCGTCTTCAACCCGCTAATAACAATCTGCTAAATATGTGTATGTGACGCAATAACATTTAATTTTATTTATTTGAAATACTTTTTGTACATTATTTGCGCACGAATTGAGTGTGAGATTTGGGTGCTCATTTATCCTAATGCAT